GGTGCAATTCGTGGAATATCCGCTAAGGGGAGACACTGTTTTGATCAGAGGAAAAGACAACATTGTTTTGATCAGAGAAGAAGACAACAGCAGCCTCACTCTGTCACTGAGACAGACCCAACACAACAAGCCTCATTTCATTTTTTTGAGTTAAAGGAAGATTGTTCTTGAGTCCTCCGTGCCACCAGAGGGCGTCACCTGCTCACCGCCATAGTCCACCTCCGAGCACAGACCTGCAGGCAACACTTTTTGCTCTTCTTCCTGTTATTGGCAAGGTGCTGAAGTTAAACTTTGGGCCAGCCTGAAAAGTAGGAGACATTTACACACGTTCAATGCACCATCATGACTACTTTTTTGACTTTTTTTTTTCTCCCCCAGGCAGCAGTAAACATGATCGGCTTCCTGCTCTCGAAAGATCCAACAGTCTATCGCCCTCGTAAGTTTCATGCCTAACACATCTTTGTCTGCACAAGAATTTGACTTGCGTGTAACTTACGAATGCCTTTCCTCTCAGGTCAACACACCTGTCCCACGTTCTTCTCAAGAGCTGACCACTTCGCCGCCCAGCAACAAGCAGACTGCCATCCAATTTGCAACTTTTTCCTCTGCTTTTGTGATTGTCTACTCTGCAAAAGAAATAAAGCTTGATTACAAAGAACACTTCAACTCAACGTCATTTTTAAACACATCACCACAATCTAACTTAAAAAAAAAAAAAAAAAAAGTTTTTTTCTAAACTTTTTTTCTGAATTATTTTTATTTTGTTTATTCCCCAAAAATTTTTTTCCTGGATTTTTTTTTCCAGGCAGAAATATCCAGCAAAGTGGGTGTGGCCTGTCCGGAATGATGGCTGAAGATTCGCTGATAGCTGTGAAAGTGGGTGGAGCATGACGATAGCATGCTGTGATTGGCGGGGAAAGAGGGGGAGTGGTTATGCAAATTAAGCGTTCTCTGATTGGTGGTCTCTTTGGGGCGTGGTTATGCAAGTTTCGAGCAACCTGATTGGTCAGAACTTGGAAAGTGGGCATGTTTGTGCAAATTAGGGTTAAGAGTATGCAAATGAGAGCCTCACCGCAATTGGTGGATATCAAATTGGGTGTGGTTTGGGGCGGGCATTGCAGCACTTTTTCAAAGTCCCACTTGAGTCTTGAGCTCAGACTTGCACTTGGGTCACATCAGACAGTCTTTTCACTGTTCCGGTCGGTTTCACATGACCCAAGAGCTCGATTCCTGGAGTTTCGAGTCATGTGGAGACCAACGGGAACAGTGAAAAGACTGTCTGATGTGACCCAAGTGCAAGTCTGAGCTCAAGACGTCAGTCTTTGAAAAGGTTTCGAGTGAGTTGAGGATGGATTTAGTCATGAAAGGCAAAGACTCAGATTCAAGTTGAACAATTTATTGGACAGAAAAGCGAACATAACAATGTGAAAGCATTTGACCAGTCAATCTTAGTGTAGGCCAGTTCAAGTTGCACGCACACAAACACTGACGACAGGCCTGAGATGGGAGCATGTGCTTGACCAGCTCATGTGTGATGTCACTGACATCTCATGACACACCAAGGGGGACATAGCACGTCCGACCTCTCTCGCTGAGACAAAAACTAACTGCCGTGTACTCCACAACAACATGATCACATTCTTCTGGTCAAGTGTTTAAATGACATTGAAGTGGGCCAAGTTAGTCATATGTATGTATATATTATATATATGTGCGTACATAGACACATTTTTAAACTAACTTGGTCCATTTCAAGGTTTCAAAACATATTCCAGAAGTGCTTGATGATGCTCGGGTTGTTTATGTGGAGTTGATACTGTTGTGCAGTACACGAAGCAGAAGTTTAAGTTGAGTGAGAGACAGACAGGCATGCGCACTCACCTGCACCTTGTGGTGCAACGTGACATCAGACTTCAGCTCTTCAAGCACACCACAGCTCAGTACTCATGCGTGTCCAAATGCAGGTTGGCGTCCCTTCCACATGTCCTCCGAGTCTGGCAGCTGTGCCTTTGGTCCAGTAATCTGACTCATCTGGTCAGGCAGAAAAACAACAAAAGTGGAAAGTCACACACTGTAGTCCATAAAAAAAATGTTTCTTTTTTTTTCTTTTTACTTTGAGTCATTATTCGTAAAGTGGCAGACTTTTACTTTCAACCCGTCCATTTTCAAACGTGCCCGCACTCGCAATGCATCTGTTTGAGTGATCCACTCGCGGCTCTCTCCCCACACCTAAAGTACAATGAGCAACCTCCTTTCGAAAAACAAATGAACAAAGTCACGGGTGCATTTGTGGGAATAGTTTTGAAACAAATCTGCCACCCCTGATGTGAAGCCATCACACTTCCACTGCTGATAGCAGCTTTGGTGTGGAAAACATACAGAATAGTATTCAAGTCAAACGCTGTTCGCGATTGCTTTTTGATTTGACAGCTGAGGTCTACTTGTCGGCGGCGTGCTCGCCCACTGCCCCCCTTTGCCGACGTTGTTTTTTACGTTGAGTCACAACAACAAAATTAAAGGAGCAACGTGTCGTAATAACTCTCCCCAACTGTCTACATCTATACACTCAGCGATCAACTGCGAAGTCAGTTTAAAATGTTAAAATTACTCACTGAGAACAGGGCTTGTGGACAGCGTAAAAACTGCTGATTGAACCGGATGTGGTACCGTTCTTGTGCTTGTACTTCTTTTTCTTCTTGGTGAATCGGATGTCTTTATTTCATATCGCCCCCTACTGTCCGGGAAACCACAAAGGCGTTTTGCAAGCAATCTGAATTTAATTTACAGTATTAGCCAAGCGTGCAAAACCACAAAACACTAAATTAGGGCATATCTTGAAGAACCACGGATTTCAAGGGCAGCTGATCCACTGAGCTGGTGGAAATACCGAGCTTCCGTCTACCCCCGTTTGATCAAAGTAATGGAGAGTAGATTGTGCATTGTAGCAACATCTGTCCAGTCAGAGAGGGCAGCAACATCTGTCCCGTCAGAGAGGGCGTTCTCAAAGACTGGGCAAAAAGAAGTGTTCCAAGTTGAAGTATTTAGTTTTGTTGACTGCAAATTTAAAACAAAGCAAGGAGTCGCTTATGTTTGTTAAAATAAAGCAAGGAGTATCTTATGTTTGTTTTGTTCACTGCTGCTGTTGCAGTTAATACTCACTATTTTCGTTATGATGCAGCATGTTTGATTGTTGTTGGTTGAAGTTTAATTTTGTTGCTTGTTTATTGTTTGGAGCCTTTTTAATGTTCAATAAAATAAGTAAAAAGCCATTTCTTTGCCTGATAATTGTTGCTATTTGCAGTCAGTAGATCTAGTGCAATATTTAGTTCACCAAGTCATTTATCAAAATGTATGGTAAATTTGTCATAAATATTTAAAAGAAAAGCTAAAGTTAAAAGAGCCGTTTGAGAGCCAAAAAGACTCGGCTCTTTTCACTGAGCCGATCCAAATGAATCGGATCACCGAAAAGAGCCGAAAATCCCATCACTACATCCGACTGATCTCAGCCCAACAGACGACGTGGACGCGCGCGCGCACGCGAGCAAGAGGTCACAATTGACTGAAGCAGCAGCGCTATCTGGTGGACACTTGGGGGGGGGGGGGGCATTACAACCGAGTTGACGGGGGTTATTCGGCGCCGTTGCACTGCATGGCTACAAATGTCCACTAGGTGGCCATGTTGCAAGTCAAAGTGCATTTTCCTTGGTTTCGCATTTTAGAATGCCTTGGGTACGAAATCGTTGATTCACCAAGAATGTGCATTTAATTCGTGTGAGACCAAGTAAGATATTATCTGCGTTTGTGCGTGAGAGAGAGAGAGACTTTGTGTCAGGCTGTCAGTGTGTGTGCTTGTTACCGTGTGTGTCGATAGTTTTCGAATAAATAAATGATCCATCCATCCATTCTTAATACCGCTTATCCTGAACAGGGCCTATACCAGCTGACTTCCGGGGGGAAGGCAGACTACATCCTGAACTGGACGCCAGTCAGATACAGGGACAGACAGACGATTCACACCGTCACTGAGTGGGACGCTATCCGACGCTGCAAATCAGGGGAGTGTACCACTACACCATCAGCGACCTAAGAATGAATCGTAAATACAAAGACCTTGAAATGGAAACCGAAATGTTGAATTCATCTTTCGATGCCACTAAAAGTAGATGCTTTCGATCAACTGATGAAATAACGGTACTGACCTCACTGTTCCAGAACTTTTGGTGGGGAGTGTCTTTTTTTTTCCTGGTGAACGACCACTTGGTGGCACTCCTCATCCATATTCTGTGGTCCAAACAACTATCAAGACAGCCTCTGTCCACTTCCATGTTTAGATTTTTTTTTTAATCTCATAAATTATGTAGAACTGATGAAACTCGTCTGTGGTTAAGTAAACCAAAAACTGCCTCTCTAATGCATTATTGTATACGTTCCTAATAACAAATCGATTTTGAAATCGGGAGACATGATACGGCTCCCTCTAGTGGTATTCAAAAGCATCACTGCCTAAATCGAGTTGTAGTTAATTTTGAAGTTCCTCTTACTTTCAAACATTTTAAAAGTAACATTTTTATTTATTTTTTCCCTTATGTAAGTTACATGTGTTCCACTTCTTGCCAGAAATTGATGGGTGGAATTGTTAATTTATAGCACGAGTACAATAGTTTAAAAAAAACATATTCGTATATTTGAGTAGAATGTGAATGGTCAAACTTTTCATCTCGCCACAGTGGCCTACAATAATTTTAAATATACTTTTTTAGGACTAAAACCATAGTCTCGTTTTTCAATGGAGACTTAGCCCTTCTGTGCAACTGCATTTTCATGTTGCTCATTATCGTGATAGCTTAAACTTTTTTTGTGATTTTTAACACGGGAATCCCTTTTCTTCAAAACAAATGTGCATTTTATCATCAGAAAAATATCGGTGTGATCATATGTGCTGATTGTTATGTAAAATGAAGTCGTTGCCGCATTGCCTCGCCCATAACGAAAGACACGCACACGCGCATCACGTCTTGTGCAAAGAAGGTCAAATTTGCTTCCGCCGGTTGCGCAATCGGCGCACGAAAAGTCAATCTATCCCCAATCTGCTCGCGACCCACCCCTTGCCCCCCTAGTCCCCCGCCCACAGTCCCTTTATGGTTTGACAGAGGAGGAAAAAAAAGTTGTCACAGTTCGAAATCATTGTTGGCCTCCCCAGCCAATCATCGTTTTGGACGCCAAAAAAAAGGAAAAAAAAGTGAATATAAAAACGTGCGCGCTAATCAAGTGATGCCAATCAGTGTTTGGACTTTAATTCTAAAGAAAGCGCGTTTTTTTTCATCTGTACGCGCACACAATGCGTTTCTCCCACGCTGGCTTGATTTTGCTGATGCTTTCGGCTGCAGTGTGCCTGTGCGAGCAGCAGGCGCAGACGCAGCAGTCTTCCGGCGGGCCGGAGGAGCCGTCCGAGCCGTGCTCCACCTGCGACGTGCGCCAGCAAATCAAAAGCATGCGCCTGAACGCCATCAAGTCCCAAATTCTGAGCAAGCTGCGCATGAAGGAGGCGCCCAACATCAGCCGCGACGTGGTCAAGCAGCTCCTGCCCAGGGCGCCGCCGCTGCAGCAGCTGCTGGACCAGTACGACGTCCTGGGGGACGACAACCGGGATGCGGTCGTGGACGAGGACGACGAGCACGCCGTCACCGAGACCATCATGATGATGGCCACGGAGCGTAAGTGGACCCCCACAATTGGAATTGATTTTGATGTCATTCGCGGTCGTTCGGCACAGGCTTCCATTTGAAAGCAGCGGTTGCGATCGCGGTTGGTGGCCACGCGAAACGGCTGCTTTCAAATGCGAAGTCACGATTGACCGACCGGCTTGAACGTGGTCGATATCATCGAGGTTCTTATGTTGGCATTTTCAGTCACGATAAAGCTAACTTCAGTTTTGTCTCGTCAGAACGGAATCACAGATACAGAGCCGGTTACATACGGATATATATACATGTATCTTCAATTTGCGTCATTAAGACTTGATTAAAAAAAAAATCTCAACCTATCTTGAACTAAAGATATCGTGAACTGGAATTATGTCTAGTCAGGAAGGGTGCACAATGCAGGGGGAAAAATGGCACATTCAATATGCTTCGTGTCAAGACTGGGATAAGTTGCGTGTGGAATTGTTTGCTTTTACTCACTTGGACCAGGCGGGTGCAACCCTAACTACACTTTCCCATCCAGTTCCCATACTAACACTAAATAACAAAAGATATTGATCGATAGGTCAGTTCGACACCTGAAAGAGAGAGTGTATTGCAACAACCCACAGACCAGTGAGGCCACAAAGACCAACATCTGTCGGGACATTTCGCAGAGTCCCTCTTGAGATGCGTGGCAACGCCATCACAAACTTGAGCGATGTGCGAGTTGCAGCTGTCGATTGAACATGTCATCAATTATTGAAGTGTGGAGAAAACCAGCAAAACTTTGCTGTCAAATGTTGATTGGGTGTTTCTGTTACACGACGATAACATTTTTGAAATGTTCTTATTTCAAAAAACGCGTTTAAAAAAATGGTCACATTTATAAAGGATTGCAAGTTATTGCAATTGATTGGCAAATACATTAAGGCGGCTTATTTGTAGCACACAAATATTCCTTTCATTAGATAATAAAAATGGTCCGTTAAATAATATCGATATTGGAGAATTTAACACCCATTTCGCACGTGACGTGTTTTTCCAACATCGTGCAGCCCTCTCAGTCAGAATCAAATTGTAGATATCGCCAAATGAACCCCCCCAACACATCAGTGGCCAAAAATAACAACACCCTTTGTCCTCTATCGCAAAATGATGATGCGGATATTTGAAATGCTGATGGTGAAGAGAAAGAACGTATTTACGGAAATCTCAAACATTCTCTTTGAAGAAACAAAACGGAATGACCAATATCGGCAACACGTATCGAGTTAGATGTGAAATGTGATGAAGTTGCCATTCACATATCTTCAATTACATTTTAACCGGTCAAAATGTTGCTGTAAATATCTCAAACTGGATTTACTGAACTCAACGACGACGTTGTTGACATCTACAATGTTAACTGTCAAACTTAGTTTGGAATCTGATTGAAACAGAGTCAACCACAACACACTCGAGTGACCGTTTTACGTACGCCGCAAAAGCAAATGGAGGTATAAACGAGTGGATGATGGCCAGTAAGCGCACGGTTTCTTTTGGAACAAGAGTCGGAATTGGGTACAGGTGGCAAATGTACTTACACAGTCTGTACTTAAGTCGACGCGTCCTCGAGATAATGACATTGAAGTGACAACAGGTCCTGCAGGAGCAAATCAAACCCCAAAATGTTAAATTGGCTCATAATAGCAGCGATAATAATGTAAACGCCTCACCTCCCACCCGTATGCATTTTTCAGATTAGTGTGAAACTCAATTATCTGTTTCTAGACTTCAAAAATGACTTCACACCCCTTGCTTTTTGTTGTTGTTGTGGGGGGTGGCTAACAATCAGCATGTACATGGCGGAAGAAGAATGAATCGATGATCAGACTCCTTATGGATTCATTTCCTCACGGCTTCGGAGTCGATTAACGTCCGTGGTCCCGTTCTCCCTCAGCCGACCCGGAGGTGCAGGCCAACGGCTCGCCCAAATGCTGCCTGTTCACGCTGAGCCCCAAGTTCCAGGCGAGCCGCGTGTTGCGGGCGCAGCTGTGGGTGTACCTGCGGCCGGCCGAGGAGCCCACCGCCGTCTTCCTGCAGATCTCGCGGCTGACGCCGGCGTCGGACGGCGGGCGGCACGTGCGCGTGCGCTCGCTCAAGCTGGACGTGAAGGCCGGGGCGGGCTCCTGGCAGAGCATCGACGTCAAGCAAGTGCTGAGCGTGTGGCTGCGCCAACCCGACACCAACTGGGGCATCCACATCAACGCCTACGACAACGCCGGCAACGACTTGGCCGTCACCTCCGCCGAGCCGGGCGAGCAAGGCCTGGTGAGATTCCCTCGCTGAAAAAGATTGTGTTTCAAAATGTATACAGGTAGTCTGTTAGCATAAGAGCCGTCGTCATTTTGTTGTTCCAAATAACAAACAAAACCAAAAAAAGATTTGGGCTGCGCCCTGTTTGGCAAAGCGGCTATCGAAAGTTGTCAGAGAAGCTCCAACGTTGATGGACGCTGATTGACTTTGTTCTCATGTCCTGTCAGAATGTTGCCAAATGCTAAGTGTTAAGCCTCAGGCTAATAAAAGCTAAATCCTGTCCAAGTACTCTGGCAAGGGAGCGGGAGGACGTTCTGCCGTCACCTAGTGGCACTTGAATAGGGCATGCTGCTGCTGGTGATGAAGTTTCTCGAGTCGTTTCCATCTCTCATCAGCAGTTATTCCAAAAGAAAAATCACAAAAAGCCAAAGAAAATGTTCAAGCGCACTTATGGATGAATTCCACAAAGTGGAAGTCTCCCAAGATTTGCTGACAACGACGACGATGTCGTCGTGACTCAGGAAATGTTTTCCACAAGACTGACTTGGAACTGCCGCTCAAATTGACCTTTAAATGTGGTGGAAAACTTTTTCGATATTAAGACCAAATGAAAACACAATCGGACAGAATTCATGAGAATGAAGCTAAAATGTGTACCAATACAATCAATTGTACTTTCATTTTTTTCTTCATGGTGGAACAGTGGTTAGCACGTCCGCCTCACAGTGGAGAGGTCTGCGATTTGATTCCGACCTTCTTGTGTGGAGTTGACTTCGCATTACAGTACAACTGTTTCTCTCAGAAAGTTTTGGCAAAAAAAAAAAAGCAAGCGACTGATTCGTTAGAAAGTTGAAATTGGTCTCTCGCTCGGTTCACGTGTGACGTGGCTGCGTGTCGTCTCCACGTTGTCTTTTATGTTGCGGCAGCAACCCTTCATGGAGGTGAAGCTGAGCGAGGGTCCGCGGCGCCTGCGCAGGGACTCGGGCCTGGACTGCGACGAGAACTCGCCGGAGTCGCGCTGCTGCCGCTACCCGCTCACCGTGGACTTCGAGGACTTCGGCTGGGACTGGATTATCGCGCCCAAACGCTACAAGGCCAACTACTGCTCGGGCGAGTGCGAGTACATGCACCTGCAGAAGTACCCGCACACCCACCTGGTGAACAAGGCCAACCCGCGGGGGAACGCCGGCCCGTGCTGCACCCCCACCAAGATGTCGCCCATCAACATGCTCTACTTCAACCGCAAAGAGCAGATCATCTACGGCAAGATCCCGTCCATGGTGGTGGATCGCTGCGGCTGCTCTTGAGCCCCCAGCCCGCCCCCAGCCCATCACGAGAGAGTAGGGAGCTGTTGAGGGGGCCTCCGCCCTGCAGGCTTTTCCACCCCCAAACACCAATTCCAGTCTTTTTTCCTGGTGCGGTCGAGGCCCCGATAAGCCCAAGGCGCTCACGCAGCTTACTGTCGCTTCCTTTCGCTCCTCCGCGAGGGAGACGCTAGCCATAGACAACAAGGGTTTCGCAATCATCACTGGGCGCGGGCGCATTTTTGGTGACCGTATCTCAAAACAAAAACAAAACCCGGTCATCTCCCGAAGAAGTGTTCACGCGAACGACGATCCCGAAACACTTTCATATCACTTCACGCTTAACTTGGGTTGTCCGTAAATGCCTGACAGACGATTTGATTTCACAAATTGACAGAAGCAAAGACTTTCCACAACCTGAACGCCTCCCCAACACACTGAGCTCGTCTCTCAGTGCAGATGTATCACTTTAGCATACAACGCACCCACGCTGATTCACCGTAATTGAAGATTTGTTGTTTGTTTTTTTTTTTTTTTTTTTGATAAAAATGTGAACAGTGGAGTTCTTCACAAGTGGCACAGGGTAGCTCTCCCCCCTCCCCCCAATCATCCGTCTGGAAATTAACCTCAGGGCCCAGTTTCCCAAAATGTAATCGGTAGAATTCTTGTACCTTCAAAATCATCACTTTTCAGGACACCCCGCCCCCCCCCCCCCCCCCCAAAACAAAAGGAAAAAAAAAACGCACACCCTCACAATCTTAGTTCAACCATACTATTGCATCGTCAAAGCGAGCAGGTCCGTTTCAATGACTTTCAACTCGCAAGTGGACTGACCAATAGTTTCGATTTGCGAAAAATGATGAAATTGACCAAATTTTGACATTTTTTGGCCCTGCCGCCAGTGATATTTTGCAACTGAAAAATCTCATAGCACAATAGTCAGTGCCTATGTTCATAGTTTCAACAATAAATATACTGTGAAGTATGATCCCAAAACACATTTAAATCGTTTCAAACTCAATTTTTTTTAAAGTTGTAGCGTTACCAGAACAACGTTTTTTTATTGGAATATTAAAGATCATTGAAGGAGGAAAGTCGTTTTGATGAAGAAATAACAGAGCTTTTGTGGCATCTGTGGGGAGTTTCAATAGGGAAGTTTTTTTGGGCGAATATCAGGGTATAGGGTCCCTAAGGGGAAAAAAAAAAAAACACACACGAAAAGACCAACTGGTGAACTGTCTGGCATTACTGATTCATTCGAGTCGAGACCGATCCGGGAAACTGATGATCAAACCTGTCCGAGATTGTGATCAGCGATCTCAACAGACTTCCTCAGAAATGCTCAAATGTTCAATATCCCCTCTATGCATCATCATGAACGGATATGGAAAAAAAAAGAAGAAAGAAATGCACCGAGCACTCCTCACTTTCCAATTAACTCAATGTATGGACTTGAACGGGCTTCAAAGCATTTTTGAGGATGGACTGAGACCTCGTCAGCCCAAGAGCTTCCGGGTTCCATTTTCCTCAACAACCACGGCAGCGTGCATGGCCCACCCCCCGTGCAGGATGCTCATCAAATCATATTGACAGGATTCAAAAAGGACTTGAGGTGAAGGCTCAAAGAATGCAGTGTTCGAGGCAAACGTCGATTGTGGGAATATGTTGAGTACGCGTATGCTCTGTACAATGCAGTTTGCACTATGGCCCGCCAATAGGAAACACTTGGTGGCTACGAAAGTTGTAAAAATTGATTTTGATATGTTTGTATTGTATACATATGAATTTGTTGTTACTGGGGTCTTTTTTTTTTTTCTTAACCGCTTTTTGGTCCTCACGAATCAAACTGCAATTTAACAAGATAGCAGATGTACTGCAACAACTCTATATACTGTACTTATTTTACCAAATAAAAGTTTTTAGCTTGAGTGCTGGTCTTTGTTTTAAGCTACCAAAAATGATGCACCATCAAAGAATCAATTCAAGTGAATTCAAAGGTTTGTTTCCAAAAACATGACACAAGCTTGAAGATGATTGGTGAAAACGCGTGCAGAGACTGTGAACTGCGGAATCCTGAATTGTGGAGGTGATTCAGAGTTTTCCAGATTTTTTGGGGGGTGAGGCATGGCTAAAATGACACAGTAAGGCTCAGGCGGGATTACCCCCCCCCCTCCACCCCCGCCCTTGCCCACTATATAAAAACTCGAGCGCCTTTGTTTGCATCTGCAGTTACCTGCCCAAATGGAGACTTGCACTTAGCAAACACACTTTCCCTTCGAATAGCCCACTGGCGTGGCTGCTTTAGAGTGCCTTGTTGCCCTAGAGCAGGGGTGAGCAATTCCGGTCGTCGAGGGCCAATATCCTGGATGATTCATGTTTCCCTGCTCCAACACACCCGATTCAAATCATCAGCTCGTCGGCAGGATCTGCAGAAGGTGGATAATGATCTTGATGAAAGTCAGACAAAAAATATATATATTTTTACATAAAGTTTAAACAGTTGTGTCCATCTTAGCTCTTTGTGTCACATAGAGATCTATGAAAAAAAATACATTTAAAATGAATTTAAACACGTACGTAATTTGGCTGGCAACACGACAGGAGGGCTCATCTCGGCAGCATTTTTTTCAAGTGCTCATTTCACCAGCTCATGGATGGTCCAAGCGACCGCGATATGCATAAGCGATTGATTTTCATCGCTCTCTTTTTTGTTGTTGTTGATTTACAAGCGACGTGGGACTTGACGGACTTTAAGAGCTTCGCCTCAGCAGCTGAGAATCTGTATGTCTTCAACACATGCTGTAAACTGATAACACACGTGGTGTGAGTAAGCAGGGAGTAAAATGACAGCGCGCTCGCACGCACGCGCACACATTCTATCAAGCGTACCTGATGGCAAAGGTGCAAATATACTTTGATTTCCATGACTCAGCTGTTTGATTCTTGTTGCAAGTGTGGCAGCCTAATGAGGGGATGTGAAGTGACAGCGTGACCTCTGCCGGGCTTGACGGCCTCAATGAGACTTGACTTCTGCCCAGTAGAGGGCGAATTGAGCGTCGCCCCTAGAGAGCCACTTCCTTGCCCCGCTGAGAGCTGGACCACAGCCCGGCCACAAAACCCTCTTTTTATACATTTTTAAAATTCTAGCCTCCTCCCGTTTGCCAGTGATGCTAAAGTGCCACAAATAAATGTAAAGGCTCAATGGCGCTCGATTTGCCGCCGTACTTTGCTTGAGTAGCGGATATCTGTATTTTTGACTCCTTACAGGGAGTATTAACGACGATCACATCACGGATGCAAAGTAGTACGCCCTTAGGTGACACGGAAGGAAAAAAAACCCTCACTTAAGTCTTTTTTTAAGTGTGTTTATGTTCTTCCGCCGTACTTTGCTTGAGTAGCGGATATCTGTATTTTTCACTCCTTACAGGGAGTATTAACGACGATCACATAACAGATGCAGAGTAGTACACCCTTAGGTGACACGGAAGGAAAAAAAAAAACCCTCGCTTAGTCTTTTTTTAAGTGTGTTTATGTTCTTCCAGGTCATCTTCCAGTAAACGAAAGCAACAAAAGTGGAGCGTTTTCACCTGTGGGCGACTTTAATCAAATTTGACTTTGAAATTGGCTTGAAATACAAAGAAAAAAAATCCGTGATTGATCTCAAGTATAAATAAGCGAAAAACATCTGAAACATACTGTCGTCTCTCAAACAGCTGCGCGTTAAAGGCTGCAGTAGCCAAACCGACCCGAAAGTACATAAACGCGCATTTTCAAAAATTTTTTCCTTAAGGGCTCCGTAGAGTGTCAGATATCCCCCAATCATTGCCTTGTTGAAAGCCTCTGTGATGTGAAAATACATGTCTTTTAATTGACAGCCCGCAGAGAAGAATGTTGCGAAGAAGCCTGCCCAGGCAGTCACGTTGAAACGGGGCTGGTGTTAAAGCCAACGTCCGGTCTGTATGCGAGTGGCTTCGAGTGGCTCATGCCTTTGACGGGAAATTGCCACATCCAATATGGCCGCCACATTGGATGGAGCTGAGCCAGGCTTCGACGGTTGGCTCTTCATATTCAACTCGGTGAAGTCGCTTGAATACATTTCCACAGGAGAATGTGGCGCCGTGTGGATAAGAACGCATATGGTGGCTTCCGGGACGTAATGAATGGTTTCTCAACAAAATCACAATCATAAAGGAACAAGTGCAAGTCTGCTCGCCACTGCTGCACACGTTTGCTGAAGAAAGGCTGAGGCAAAGTTTCAGTCAGTATTGTTGGTTTCCCGACACCAATGTTGTCACAATCGCAACAAACTGCTCGTACTGCCCAATGTGCCAAAACAAATTGATGAGAATTTTGTCCGTCTGACATTGCGCATCCGTGCCGAGAGCCAGGTTGAAGCGCCCCATGCCGTTTATTGCCGCCTGTCTGTTCCTCGCGGGTCGTCCTCGCGGCTTCGCCTGAGCGTCGTGACATCTGTTGTGATGGCGGGACTCTGGAGGACTGCATCCGCCAGTGACATTCCACCTCTTGACAGGTGAGGAAGTGAGAGCGAGAGGAGAGGGAAGAAGGATGTTCGGGGCTATGCGACTGCTCCAACACAGCTGGAGACCCGGTTATTGGACGCGATTCTTGTTGTGTTAACATTAGCAGAACTGGAACGGATGAAACTGGGATTCAATTTGAGGGGGGTGGGGGGGGGGCATCTTGAGGAATGTTAAACAATACATTTGTATAAGAATGTTGAAGAGTTATTTGGTTGTTGGCAATACAAAAATCCAAACTTTCTACTTGAGTATTTTCTGTGGACCATATAGGCAGCCATTTGGTTGATTTATTTGCTTAAAAATCTTTTCTCCATTTTTGGGGGTGTCAATTTAGGCGCTCTCCACGCCTGGTCGACTCTTATTGATGCTTCTATTATTACACAATACGCTGTGGGTCTCGAAAGAGCTGATCAAACTGATCAAAAGACAAGCGAGCTAAACTGGAGCCTCTTTCGTAAGTACGCACGTTTATCCTCGCTACGGTCGAGGGGTGAGCTTGGAAACTACCCCGGTGGACTTTGGCCACGAGACGTGGTACACCCTCAACTGGTCACCAGCCAACGGCGGCCCATATCGAGAGTCTGCGTGAAGCTCACGGGTATGTTTCGGGAACGTGGGAGTAGAAATTTCACCAAGGCGTGGAAACAGAGAATCTGCAAAGTCCGCAAACCTCAAATCTCTCCTCTGCCATGCTAAGCAGCAGTTCAAAGGAGTTGCCCTCAAATGCGCATGTCGTTCCACTTAAGGCAATTCTTCCTCACGGGAACTTTGCATTGGAACATTCTTGCTGAAATCGACGTTGTCGAGCGGGGGCGGCGTATTGACGACGCATATTGTAATCACGTCAACAAGCCGAGGCCGGGCTTGTTTGTTTCAATCCCTGCTGGGTCCGCGGAAGGCAATGAAAAGTCATAAAATCAACCCAGGACGTGATAACGGCCAGATGGCCAGCTGGTGAACGCTGCCTGTCTTCGCCTGAAGGAGTGATTTATCCTTTCCGTCTGCGCGCCGTTTGCTTTTTCACTTAGGGAGAAGGAATCACTATTCCGACATGAACATTGACAGTCACCTCGGGGAAGCCATCAGATGATTTATGACTGGAAGTTTGGACACAAATTTGGTGTCCACTCCAGAAATGTTTACAATATTAATCACTGGCCTGTTGTTGGTTTCTACGGAAGGGTTAAAGGGGGAGCCTTCGAAAAAGCTCTTGCCCCCCGAGCCAGCCCGGGTCCAAGGCCACGACCTGCTTCGGAAGAGACGTGACAGTGTTGGAGAATAAATGTTCCTGAAAGTAAGGCCAAGGGAGGGTAGATTATGGAAAGCTCCTGTCTGGAGATGACATGCCACGTTCGCCTCCTAAGGCAGGCGGATGTGCCGGAGTGTCAGCTCTGTGTCAAATGGGCCGCAAGGATTTGCAAATCTCACATATAGCATTCATGGTATAGGTTGTGCACAATGCATTTACAAGAGACGTCGCTGATGCTCGCACCTTAGCCAGCTCAATGCAGGCGTTTGCAAAAAAAAATAATAATAATCATAATAATAATAATAATAATTACAAAAAATAAGAATCACTTTTCCCCACATCTGTCAAAAGTGACATTATGACCTGACAGTTGTATGTGATCAAAATGATTTCTGATGATGGGCACGTGACCACAGCATCACGCTGAACTGGAACCTCGGGCTGAGAGAACGTTGCGGAAACTATGGCGGAATAACCACCTCCAGGAAAGAAAACTATACGCCCATCGCTGGTCTCCCAGCAACCGGGTAAAAGACGAGCAAAGAGTAGCTGAGCAAGGGACCTCAGTCAGCTGAAAGGATTCCGAAGCCACACTGAAATAGCAACATTTCTTTTCGACAGCCCACCTTTTCGTATTTGCTCTTCACAAATTTGAATTTTGGGGGGTTCTTCGGAACTGATCCTCAGCTGCGTTCTTTCCGCGACACACTAAAATGCCACAAAATGGCGTCAAAGCCCTGGCTAATCGGACAGCAGTAATTGGTGTCAAGGATTATATTGAAGGGATGCATCTCCCTGGGCCTGCGTGGGTTTTCTCCGGGTACTCCGGTTTCCTCCCACATTCCAAAAACATGCATGGCAGGCTGATTGAACACTCTTAATTGTCCCTCGGTGTGAGTGTGAGCGTGGATGCTTGTTTTACTCTGTGTGCCCTGCGATTGGCTGGCAACCGGTTCAGGCTGTCAGTGGAAGTTACAGAGCGCGTTAGCCACCTTTTGTTTTGAAAACGAAGTGCTTTGGGATCATTGTTTGTAGTACATTTATGGTTGAAACGGTGAATCTGGCCCATGAGGAACATTTCGCCGGAGCTTGACTTAGTCTCATTTTAAGGGTAGGAAACAACATCAAGAATTGTTTAACTTCCGTTCCGTCATGCGCGGCAGCGGATTCACACGTCGCAAAGTGTCACATTTGTAAACACAAACAGGTGCTCGAAAATAAGCGAGGACCTCTTTTTACGGCACCGCTCCATCATTGCTCCCACAATAGACGGCAAACGCGGTTAAATATAGATCACGTCTTTAATTTTAGATTTGATGACTGTTAAAAAAAAAAAAAAAAAAAAGGCCTAGCGAAAGCCGATCTGCGGTTGCACTGAACGTTCCCCAAAGAAGCACGAGGTCGCTTGGCGCATTGGCAACTATTGGGAGAACATCTTCAAGATACAGCACACCTTTCGGGACTTTTCCTATCTCCCCCCCAAAAAACAAAAAAAAAAAAACTTGCATTCTCGCATTGTGCTAATCTGCTGAATCGGTTTCAGTGGCAGGGAAAGGGATGCAACAGGTGGCGTAAAAAGACAGCTGGCCTAAGGCAGCTCCCGCTGACCTTTTAATCCTCCCCAATTACTCGAATATGGCCCTTGGGTGATAAGGCGAGCGCGTACGGAGCGGATTCCGTTGCTGCTGCATACATTTGCTGACACGGGAAACTCAGGCGCGCGTTTACAAGCGTTTCGCGCAAGGCACCGGCGCGGCAGCGAATCGGCCCCTTTCCGTTGCTTGCAGCAATGCCGAAGCCATATGGAAGGGGGCTCCGCTCACGTAAAACAAGACACGTGGTGAGCTTTGACCTTTCGCCGGCCTAACTATAATATTTTCGTAAGATCAGCGATCGGATTGCACTTTTTCCCCTTGGGGCAGATTATTTCTGTACGGGCATTTTCAAGTCATGCGCGCCCCGTCTCAGTGACAATCAGTGCAGGAGGCTTGGTTAAATCCTTTTTTTTCTTTGTTGTTGCTGCTGTTCTTGTCTTTTTATTTGATGCAAATAAGCCTACTGCAACGGATAAATTGGGAAAGAACTGGCAGATATTTATAGAAAGAAAGTGGGGAGCACTGATCGTGAAGGCTACCGATACAAGCCACCGATACTTCGAAGGGGGGGGGGGTCCTATTTGGCAGTAGCTATACTGCGGCAGTTTGACACATCATCGAATCATCAGCAGCTGCGCCAGGAGGAAAGGGCTTTGTTCACATTTTTTGTCATTGGGTGAAGTGAAATTCTCGTACGAGAAGGTATCGCGACTCAAAGAGCAAATACTCACACTGGTTTTGGTCTGAAAAGAAGTGGACTGAAACATCCCTAATTTTTAACATATCATTCTGACGCTACCAAAGGTAATTGGAGCAAATGTGTGATTTCAGAAGTGTGATAATAGGATCATGGATGGATGGAATCAAACTGGGAGCCCTTCCCGATAATCGGCCCCCAAGAAGTAGCGCTCACTTTCAAAAAAGGTTGGTGAGCGCTGCTCCAGAACGTGCACTTTTCCAGCAACGGATAAGAATGAAGATTGTCTTGACTGCGTCGATATCTCCGTGATTCCATCCATCCAGTTGCTTCCCGGCATTTGACGGACGCGAAAGAAGAGGAGCACTTCATCAAGTCCCTCATTTTGGCTACTTCACGTGCTGCAGCTTTATTAAATTCAGCATGTAACAATATTCTTTGGTATTTAAGTAACATCACACTTGAGCATCCATCTGCTCAAGTACTCACACAAGAGCCATTATTCATTCATATCTGCTTGGCATGTCCATCACTATTCGCGACTGGCAAGAGTCTACTTGATGAATGGCAGATTTTTTTTTCAGGGGAGGGAACACTCAATGTTCCACATTGCTTTCAAAATGCAACAGGAGATGGTTCACCAAACAATGCCACTGCCAATTTGCCACATCCTTAGAAGCGATTCCAGAGAAACTACTGTCGGAAGAGGGTTAAAATAAAAAATAAAATAAAAAGTGTGACATGGTGATGTGTCCAAGTATTACTGTTCAGATTAGGTCAGCCGCAAAAGCAAAATCCTTCTGTTGGAGTTGGCCTTTCATCGTGCCAAAGGTTTTAACGAGAGCTTTGGCCTCGCGCTCCGTCTGAGGGATGTCGCACAGCGGCTGGAGGAAAGGCCTTCCGTGGAAACAGGTGCGCTCGCTCTCACCAAGTTGCTGTTGCATCCGTCTCAGGATGTCCTCCGCATCCTCCCTGGTTAGATGCGCCGGCATCTGACGGGCGAGTCGCACGGCTTCGCTCTGCGCATACGACGGCGGTCGATGACTCGCACAAGAAGGCAACGTGTGCACCCGTGCGATGTCAACGTTTACATATACTGGCCCGGCCGGCCGTATCTACTTGCCTTTCAGGGAGATCTTCTGCTTATAGTGGATGCCTACGCTCCAGACCCACCCGCAATACCCGAGGCGAGTGGTCCCCAACTATCGGTCCGCGGACCAGTACTGGGCCGCACAGAGACAAACCGAGTTATTATTTTGTTTGTTTTTGTTGAGTGGAGGTACGCCATCAGACGAGCTTTGTGGAAATGTGCGCACCGCTCGCTGATCGACTATCTTTGTTGTCGCTACCATTGCTTCAAAACGGGCAATTTATTGGCAATGAAAAAAAAAGGTTGTCGGTTCGCAAACAGCATGTACTTGTTTCAACTCGTCCGTGACAACAAAAAAGGTTGGGGACCACTGCCCTAGGTGACAATCGGGGATATAGAGAGGCCATAGAATTTGTGATTTTTAGCCTACTCTTAATTGTTAAAAAAAACAAACAAACAAGAATGGTTTTGCATTAAACTCACGTCGAGGCACCACCGCGTACGATCTCTCTATATTGCGGATTTTCATCTCGGCTCCGGAACGAGTCCGCCGCGTTACACTTTGATTTTGGATGCATTTTTTCCCCACTTTATCACTCACTTGGAGGAAGTTGGACACTTTGAGCGGGCGACACTCCTGCACAGTTTTGGCCTTCCTGCGAAGAACCGCTGTCATGATTTCCCCGAGGTCCTCGACACCGAGGAAAGGTACGCAGTCGGCCAGCGCCGTCACTTCCAGATGTCTCTGGGCCGACGCGCCGCCTGGCCAAAACAAGCAGAAAGCGAGGATTCATATACTTGCAGACGAAGATTCTATCTCCAGGAAATAATCATAAATAAATATTGTGATTTACCATTTGGCCGGTGGCCAAGTTAAACCGCGGAGGGCCAAATGGAGTGTTTAATGACTAATAGAAGCCCCCGAAGACCGAAAGGAAGTCGGAAAAAAATAGGGCCTGTCATTGAAAGAGGAAATATCACAAATCATGCAAAAGTATATTTCCGACACAAGGCTCGGATGCCACGGGCCAAGAAGAGAGCGGCGACTTTCCAAGATCTTACACGCACCCCGTGTCAGACTGAGGCAACGCACCCACTGGGGGCTGGCAGTGACCAATGAAAATTCCTCAAATTCTTTCAAAGGGCAACCATTCCCATCACCTGCAAGCTGGGCCGCGGGCCCGCTGAAAAGGTCACGGCATCGGGCAAGGCGCCAACTTGGACTGCGGCGAAGCTGTTCGGCAACAAAAACAAGCCCAAATTCACGGGAAGCTGAGAAATAATCCCGGTAATGAAGAAGAAACGGTGCCAAACAGTCCGTTAGCGGCTATTAGGTTACGAAACGCGAATGGTCAATATTTACACCCGGTCATTGGGTTCTCACCGTTTGTTTTGTCGGCTGCCATCACGTCACTTTATTAGAATGCATTCAACACGGAACCTTGATGGTGACATGTCATACTCAATGCGCATCATCGCTTGCACTGTCATGGCCACGAGGAGAAAGGGGCAAGTTCAAAAGCTTATTTGGCGTGTGTAAACTTTGTTGTCAGACCGCAAGTACCCCCTCAACTCATACGGGTTAATGAGTCTTCAAAAGTAACACAAATGATTATTCAATCAAAATCATTTGAGTTGAATTCGAACACTTAATTCGGGGGCACGGTCATCTTCTTTGCTGAAATTCAACATCAAATTAAGACCCACTGGAGCAGTTTTGACTTTTCATCCGAGCTTTAATGAGACAGTGAGAGGCGGCTGTTGCGATTTTGACGCGGCCGTGCCACGGGTGGTTATCGATCGGGGAAATACATTCTGAAATGTTTCCACACACCCCCTGTAATGTGCTGGCCTACCCCCCTCCCTGGTTGGGAAACACAGTCGGTGTTGCCATGTTAGCGATTTGGTTTACCTGGCGTGAGTCTGACTTGAAATCCGTTGGCCACGACTCTCGGGTCAGAGATGAACATCCTGCCGTTCACATCCGGCCTCTGTTTTTCCATGTTGCACAAAGACTCCATGGCGTCGCTTCCCCCTAAGCTTCTGCACAAGAGACAATGGAGGAAATTCAGCGGCGTCTGTACACGTGCGGCTCAATCATGTGGCATCAAAAACGTTTTTCTTTGTGCAAGTTTCACTTTGGGAATTGTACTACTAAAATGAAATTGAAGTCGCTACACCAACGGGGGGCAAACTTTTGTTGTACATTTATCTGTAAAAATCAACAAATGGGCTAAGTCACTTCAGGAATGAGGCAAGAAAAAAAAATGCGAACGCAATACATAGCCTATTATTAATTCAATTCAAAAAAATTGAAGAACCGAACGGGCCGCATGTGGCCATGCATCGGCCACCGCCACGTCTGTAGCTGGAACACAAATATTATTTTTCTAATTCAGCACTGAAAGCATCGTTGATAAGCGGCCAGCATGGGCTGTTTGCAAGCGAGAAGCCAGTGTCCCATTACCCTTCCGTGACATGTATCGCGTTCTGCAGAGTGACGGCTGGAAGTATTTGATTCCGCAGGAGTCTCTGGAGCAGCAGGCTCTCCTGCACCCGAAAGGGGTTGAACAACATGAGCCTCTGACCGCATAAAATGACCCAGATGCTCTGAGAGGCCAGCCGGTTTATAAGACGGAGGCCCCGCGGTGCCGCCGTGCTCCGGGACGACGAGAGGCACTGGAGTCGTGCGCGAAGGCTCGACATGCAACAGGGGAGGGGCCGCGAGGGCTTGGGACTCGGGGTCCGGGGCTTCTTCTGCGGCTGTGGCGCCGAGAAGAGCTCGTCCAGCAGCTGCTGGTTGGAGAACGGGGCCTTGCGCTTCTGGCCCGGAGCGGAGAAGGTGCGCCGGTCTTTCGCGCCACCGGCGGTAGCCAGTTTGGCGGCGCAAGTGCGGTCGTGGTGCTCCAGCTGCTTTTTGGCCTTCTCCTCGTACCTGTTGAGTGCACGTAACGCTGATGAAAAACATCCACTGCTCACAAAAAGTGACCAACCTAAAGTGCACGAGAACACGACTTCATTTGACCTTGGGATGCCCTCGTACAACTGTTTTCATGTACGCGCATACATTTTCTCCAAGTTCAAGTCAAACTGGCATTTCATGAGCATCATGCTGATCGCACGTTGACATCATGACACCAACCTGACACAGAACGACTCATCAACGGTACGAGGCTACAGGCTGAGAGTGTTGACACGGAGAGACCGGAGGAGTTATTCTTTGGCTTTCTACTCAGCGTGGCTTTAGTGTTCTCTGTTTTTGTGTTTGTTATTGTTCTGTCTGTCTTTGTTTTTATACGTCCCGCCTTTTACTTTTGTGCGTAGCACCGCCAAAATATCAAATCTGAAAAATAGCACACAATTCACATGAGTTACACAATTCACACGAGTCAACGAGAGCCATCAGAACGCATTTTGTGAGCAGCTCTGTTTTGCTGATTGCCCCACTAAATGACTCCATCCCTGTCTTAGCTTCATGAACGTAAATCCTTTGCCTCGCAGGGGAGGCCGATACGGGTCAAACGCTAACGCTCATTACCTCCATCTGTTCGCTGCCAAATCTGTTCCTGACTAGCCAACTTTGTGTCACTCCCCTGAGTGCTGGTGAAGTAAGTGTGGATGTGATTTCCGATGAACGAAAACAACGGCGAGAACCGGGAAACAGCACATTTGTCTTTCAAGTGATACGGTGGCGGCATACTAAAAACAACCTCCTCACTCACTCTGAATCTGGCACTTACTGTATCAAGAAAAAAAAAAAACAACAACAATAACAACATCAAAGGTGATAACAGACTAAAACTTACTTCTTGCGGTCTTCCTCACTGAGATTTTTCCACCTGTCATGAACGGCTTTGCTGATCTCCTGTAGGCTGGCGGTCGGTTTCTCCCTGAGAACCTGGACGCGGGCTTCCTTCTCGAATAAAGCGACCGGCGATAGTGGCGCTCTCATCGTCCGGTTGCTGATCAGATCAAAGGCGGTCAGAGCCGTACGCTTTTCCGTGATAACGTTGACTGTCCTTTTGTTTGTCTCGATCTCATCGGCAACGGAACGACCCGGCGCGGAGCCTTGATGGATCGTGACGGGCTGCAGGGGCTGTCCTGACACCGGGTCCGTTAGGGCAGTGCCTTTGCTCCAGTCCTCGGCGGATATGTGTGCTTCTTGGTCTTTGAATTTTGCGGGCAGTTCGCTTGGCAAGCCTACACTTTCATCATCACCGAGAGAGAAGTTCGACTCTGAGGCAGCGGGCATCTGATCGACAATCCAGTCTTCTGCCGCCGAGGACGAAGAGCTGCTTTTCGAGGTCTGTCTGCTTGGTGGCGGACTGTCGCGCACTGCGCCGTCTGACTGTTCTTTGAGGGTGTGAAATCCCGCAACATCCTTTATTGCGCTGATCTCATCCTCCGCTTTTTCAGCGTCGGTATTCCAGGATGGTGAAGATGAGGCATCGGGGCCGAGCCGTTCCGTTGTGGAGTCGTGAGCGGGCCGATACCCGTAGAGAGAGACCAGCAGAGCTTCCAGTGCAGTAAACAAGGCTTCCTAAAAGCAAAGAGAGAACTGAGAGCGATCAGGACATTCGGATTTGTCTGCGTTCGAGCTGCCATAAATACCTTGTTGTGGAGGAGAACCTGCGTCTTATCAGGGGTCAGATTGACATCCACCGCAGAGGGTGAAACGGTGATTTGAAGCATGAGGATGGGGTAGCGGTTCTGCGCCGACTCGTCCGCATACTGCGCGGCATAGTGTTGACGAAGTAACTGACGGCGGGTCAGAAACGGAAACGGAACATTTTCAAACGACGAGCACTCCGAGCATAGCGTGTTGCAAGCGGAAGGAAGCACACCTTCATGATGTCCTTATGGTGGATGGGCCGATTGTTGACAAATATGAATGTTTTGTCTGGAACAGAAGTGCTGGTTGAAGAGACATCGGCGCCTGACTTAGGGAAAAAACCCTCGAGAAAAATCTGAAAAAAAAGATGGAATTTACAACACGACCAAAGCAAGTCAAGGTTGCTATGAAGGACTTTACGCGGCTTGGTTATGTTTAAGCCTTGTGTTGTACAACTGATCAAATTTTAAACGGCCAAGACCTCCTCAAAAAGACAAGACCGCGAATTCGAACCCCACTGAAAATTAAACACAACCAACACCTCTTGCAACATCCCCACCCCAAAAAAAAAAAAACAACTTGAATTTTTATTATGCTAGAAAAATTTTCACTTGACAAAATGGATACACTGACGGAGGCTTGATCATTTTGCCTGCAGTTGTTCTCAACAGCTAAAACTGATCAGCGGACAAACAATCCTACTAAAAAGTCCATCACGGAAGTAAGCTTGTAAGACATTACGATCGCTATTAACGTATCGATTCCAGGTGGCGAAGCGCCATGCTTTTTTTTTTTTTTCCGCTCACTTCCACATGGCTTTGGGCTCATTATTAGCAAAGCTCACTAAAAGACGTCAATAAACGAGCCGCTCTTTCCTTTCGGGCCACATGTGTTCCTCCCCGTTTGTGCTCATTACGGTCACTTTATGGCAACGCAAATGGCGACTCCTTGCCCTCAAAGGGCTGAAAAGTAGAAGTAAACGCGCAGAAATGCAGCTCTCGCGTTTGGTTCCAATTCTCCCCCCGAGGTGTCAACTCGGCTCCCGTCGATCACAAATGGGAGAGAAAGCACTTCCATTGCTTCGGGGAGTCGGGCTCGTAGGACAAGACGAAAGGTCGATCTCGTAACCGGCTGCGGCGACAAATCAACAACAAGCAAACGAGAAAAATGAGGGAAACAAGATGAAAAGGTGCTGCTCTACATCCGTCACAGTGGATTAGTTGTGAGCTACCAAACCGCATGGCACCTACCGTGACCGAGCAGAAAAGTGACCGCTCAAACCATAATTCAATTACCGTCAGCACAACAAAGCTTAGCTTTAAAAAAAAAAAAAAAAAAATGCTCACTCTTCATCAGGAAAGAACTGCAAGAGAAAAGTTGGCCGGTGACCAAGTGAACACATTTTCTGGCTAGAGACCAGTGCTTCTCGGCTATTAGCTCACCGTCGCGTACAATGTAGATTCTTTTAAAAGGAGACACCCGTCCATCTTCTATAGAACGCGGCTTTAACTGGGTAACTGGAGTCTATTGCCAGCTGTGTTTGGGCGAGAGGCGGTACACACCCTTGATTGGTCGCCCAGCCAATTTGCAGGGAAACATATAGGCAAACAACCCGTCGCGCTCAAATTTACACCTGCCATTCTAGTCAGGTTGGCACTGTTTCAGTGGCCGTGACAATGTCATTTCGGAGCATTAATAGCCTTGATGAAAGAGACCGCTTGCCGTTGAGGAACAAACCTCTGCTTGCTCTTGACAGTGGTGGCATGGGAGCAGGTTGGCAAGCGTCGTGGAGCCCAAGGTGGCAAGGAGGGCGCTCCTGTGGTCGGCCGCCTTGGCCTTCTGCCAGACCACCACCTGCAATAACGCGACAGCCATGTTACATACACCGTTAACGTTCACGGTCATGTCAAGACGGTAACTCAAACCACAAATCTTACCTGGCAACAATGCGAGTCATCATTATCATAAAAGTCATTCGCTTGAAGCCTCCTGTTACGTGGCAGTTAGTTCAAAATTTTGTTGGGGTTTTTTTTTTTTTTGGGTGTAGAGAACTGAAATCAACGGTAATAATGAAAATAGTTCATTTGACATATTAACCGGTTGAACTGACATGAAATATTCAATGTTTACTGTGATTTTTTTTTTCCATATCCTTACACTTTTGGACAATTACACAATGACCCAGATTACATCTATTATTTAAGATGAATGCCATTCAATTTGATGCGCAACATAAACTCTCTTAATCAAACTGACCATTTTGTAGCAAGTTTTACAGCATTCATTTTTTGAAACGTTTGGATGATTATACATGCATTGGGTCAAACTGACCCCCCACCTCCAAATTATATTTTTATGATTAAATAATACTTCTTATTGCATTTAAGTCTTTGTCATAAGGTAATAAGCACAACCCAAGCCAGAAATGACACAACACTGAAACTTAATAAAAAGCAAACTGAGCACTCGATCTTTGACATCAAATTTCATGATCAATGATTTGATGTTTATTATTATTTTAGATGACTCTGAGTTATATTGCGTTTCGAACTCCTCTCGCTCCGTGATCGGCACGCATCAAGTTATGTGACGTACAGTTAGCGCACGAAAAGGGATCGCTGCTGTAAACAGCTCGTAAAGAAGCTGCGAAACACGACACGCGGGCTCGACTCGCAGAGCTCGTTGTAAAGGATAGGGGCAAGCGAGAGCTGAATGTACAAAATGGGGGCGTTCATTACTCACCGTTAACAACCTTGAAACGGATTTCTAGGAACGCCATATACAGTGGCGTCGTGCCCTCTGGCTGACCCACATAGCCTGCACGCAGGCATACGCACGCGGCGGCCTGAAACACAAACTGCTGCTGACTTCAGCAACTTACTCAAGCATCATAATCAGCTAAATCCGAGTTCACAGTCACTCATATTTGTGTTCGGAGCACCTGACAGCTGTGATTAGCGGCAGTGAGAAAGGCTACGAGAGACGTCCACTTGCTCAATACTTGCACGGCCGATTGAGCTCATCTTGTAGAAAGACGAAAGATGGGCCCAAATGACAGCTTTTTATTTTTAATAGGTTAGCGCAAAAGCAAAACTACTCTTGTGTACATCAACTGGTGATAAGACAGCTGTAATGTTTCCGGGTCAGAAAGACCCTGGGGCATTATCCAAAAGTGTCAGAAATGAAGGGGAAAAAAACCAAAACACTCTTTATATCTCATGATGAACTCAACTCGCTCATACATCGTGTGAAACATTTGCATTGGAAGCTGATGCTGCACTTCACCAAACACTTCATACTGAAGAGCGACATAAAACTTGTAAATGGGGTCAATTTTATTCACACCTTAACAAAGGCTCCAAAATGTTGTCTGTTTGATTGATACGTCTTCAAATCATCCGATTCCTCAATAAAATGAGGGGCACTTGCAAGATAGATTTCCCTCACATGGGTAAAGAAGAAGGAAAATATGCAGTTGATACTGTGAGTATTTTGTGACATAATTGCAAATTGCCAATCCTATTTTCAGTGCACGCAATGGAAACCCTGAGAAAGCTGCTGAGGACACCTTGTGGCTGTGCACACTAACAACACGTGTAATTGCTGTTTTGCCTTGTGCCATTTGGTTCTTTGGTACACCAAAAACGCCCATTCTGGCATTTTTGTGACTACGGAATACATATGAAGCAAAAATGTATAGCTCTTTGTGCTAAACTTTTATAGTTCAAAACAGCAGATTTAAATTGAACTTTACCTTCAAAAATAAATAATATAGCGAACATAGGGATGACAGTGGTATGCCAACCTTTCTTTTTACACTGTGTTAAAGGGGTCCTAAAAGAGGAAGGCTTACCTTATTGTGAGTGAGTGTGAGTCTCACTTGAGGTTTTATAATGGCGTAGGCCACCAACAGGTCCTGGATTTTTTTCACCTCGTCTTTGCATCTCTTAGCTGACGAGTAGTATTGCCGTCTCACGGGAAGATTCTTGAAAAGTTTCAGTACGCTAACCGTTGTACCTGTAAGACATGACAACCACATTTGTCATTAAAAATAGGAGACGCGTCACTGAAAACAATGAGCTTTTAAATGCTTTCAAACAGGGCTAATTGAGTCATTAAGACACAAAGGAACGGTTTTAAAATGCGAGAAAAACCCAGAAGCCCTTCGGTCGCTGATACGGCTTTGTCGGTTTGGGTTTTTGCATTGCATGAACAGCAATATGTATTCATTATCCTAGCGAAAGGAGCTATGAAGATGGAACTCACATACTTGGGGAAAAAAATGTTACTTGATGTGGTAAAAATGCAATTCTTTGATTCTGCTGCTAACAACAAACATTAACGAGGCCTTCCTTGCCTTGGCTTAAGTGAGTCGGCTTCTGAGATACGATGCTCCCTTGGGCGTTAAGCGTGTACTGGGTGCTGATGTCATCGTCCTCGGTCTTGGTGGTGATGGCCACCTGGAGAAAAATAATAAAATAGCACACATACTGTATAAACAAGCAATTCACACTGATATTCACACAGACGAGCATTGGGGGTTTTCTTTTGCTTTGGGTCCTTCATGAAAGCAGACTGTTATCTTTTGTTTAATCAAAATAAGACATGAAGCAAGCGCCTGCGTTTACTTTGGAAAATAATGACCAAACCAGTCACTGAATGAATTTCAAAAAGGTTGTTGAGCATAACATCAGTCCCGCTCATGTGACATTGCTTAATTGTTGTTTTGTTTTTTTAATCACTAAACAATACAAAATTTATGACAACAATCGGTTGATAAACAGTCATCAAGAAAAACATAGTTTTATAATACACAAAAAATGTCATCACGTTATTTCATTAATCGATAGATTTTTAAAACATTCAATAGCGACAGCCTTTATCACAACCAACAGTATGTAAATTAAAAGCCAGTGACTAAGTGGCGTGTGACAGCTGGGACTGACCTCCGCCACGGCGCAAACAGAGCTGAGTGCTTCGCCCCTGAAGCCGTACGTCTGGAGGAGCTCCAGGTCCTCGTGGCTGTAGATCTTGGAGGTGAAATGGCGGATGGCCATGACGGGAGCGGCGGAGGCCTTAATTCCGCAGCCGTTGTCCCGGACCTCGATCCGATCCAGGCCATAGTTCTCCTGCAGTAGTAAATGAAAGAGAAGAGTTTTGTTATGGCTTTTGTTACCAGGACAACCAGGGATGGAGAAGAGGAGTTCGCAAGGAGGCAAGTTGCTTCTACTTGCGCTAAACAATAAAAGCATTTTCACTTAATGGAGGCAGCACTTCATACACTTGGCACTTAGCATGTGGATAATTTGAACCACTGCCCTTATTAATTCAAAGGCCCAGCCTTACTGACCTCCCCCCCAAGCCGACTGACTTTTAACAATCAATAACTAACATACGAACCCTACTAATGTTGACTAACTTGACACACAATTTACAAGATGACGTTCGCAGACATTGTTTGGGGAAACAGACGATTGCCTTGGTTATGTAATTTCACACATGGATGGGGGTCTTTCGAGCCCATAGATGAAATAGGAGCGAAAATTATGTCAGCAGTACCAGTTTGACGTCAATGGTGGAAGCCCCAGCATCGAGTGCATTTTCAAGTAGCTCTTTCACAACATTAGTCATCGAAGTGATGACCTGTGAGCTGGACAACAGCCGCACGGTGTCTGCGGGCAGCTGCTTCATGACGGAGCTGAAAAACAAACGAAGGACGTGGAAATGCTACCGAATTGCGGTGAGAGGAAGGACTCATAGGGTCAGAAAGTGACGTCACTTTCTGACGCCCCTTCGACGATCTCGACTGGTAACGCTAGTTCGCGAGTCTGTTTACAAGCGACTAATGAATTAATGAATAAACACACGGAGAGATTTACACGTTCATAGCAAAAGTGAATGCTATATCTCAATTACAATAATAATAAACTGTATTCGACGTGTGAACTTGCCTCGTCCTGCGACCGTGTCGTAAACACCGAAGGCAACTATTTCCCGCCCGGCCTACTAAAATCTGATTGGCTGGAAGTGAGAGGTAGGAACTTGAGCCAATGTTTTTGCCCTGACTTTAATCTGCCAGGCACACGACCGTAACTATTTCTTCGACGTTAATACTGAATATGATCCAAAACACGTTTCAATTATTTTTTGAAAATCAATAGTGTTTACGTGAATTAAAACCAATCGCACACTACTGTCCTCGATGTAACCTTTCAAAACTACCTGACAGATAATGGTGATGTGACCCAGTCAACTACGCCTACTTCCGCTTTGTCTCACTGCGCCCGTCGCCGTCGGCTAAGTGGAGCACATCATCAACAACAAGGTTGTTTTCTCTTTCTCTCCGCAGCAGATCGGCTCTCCACGCACTTCCAAGACTCGCTGCTGTAACCTGTAGGTCTCCGGGGGGGTTTGTCGACCACCTTCTCCATAATCGAATTTGTATATAATTTTCGAGCATATTCTGCGCCAAAACTCCACTGCTAGATGTGAAACACACTGTACGAGACTTAGATTTCCAATCAGTAACATTGAAAAGTAACTGTATTTGTCTTAGATTTCAGTTGTTTTTCCGGTTTTGTCAGTTAGAAACGACACGGTGGTGCCCATCAGCCGCACCGATCTTATCGAACATCTGTTGCCCCGACGAGTTGGGTTGGAGTCTATTTGTGGACAAGAATATGTGCGTACACTTATTTTTTGTTGTTGTTGCTTAAAGTATTTTTAAAATTCATTTTTGCATTATAAAAACAGATTATTTCAAAAAGAATGCATTATATTTTTAAAATAGATTTAAAAACAGCGGAAAGTTTGACAAGTGGTTTGTACATTTGAGAGGTCCTCGGTTTATTTTTGCATGTTAGGTTCATTGAAGACTGAAAGTGTGAAAGTGATTAGCCCTTCGATTGACAGTGGTTATTTAAAATAAATAAATAAAAAATACATTTTATATTGTCTCAATATAAGCCGAAATAACGTGCGAGGGTTCACCCTCAGTGTAACCCAGCTTTTACATTGTGGGTCAAATTGACCCTTTTTCAAGTTTAAACATTTAGAAAATGCGTTTTAAACTTCTTCAGCAGGCCTTATTTTATTTATTTTTTCTTCTTTTCTTATGACATGCAGCGAATCACATTGACCTAATAACATTTTTTGCTGAACCAAAGAAACAAACAAAGCTATAAAAAGCAGATCACACTTGTATTTTATCCATCCAACATCCATGTTCTGATCCGCTTATCCTCACAAGGATCGCGAGGCGTGCTGGAGCCTATCCCAGCTGTCTTCGGGCAGTAGGCGGGGGACACAGAGACAAACAACCATCCGCGCTCACACTCACACCCACACCGAGGGACAATTTAGAGTGTTCCATTAACCTGCCAGACATGTTTTTGGAATGTGGGAGAAAACCCACATAGGCACGGGAAAACAAGCAAACTCCATATAGGAAGCCTGGAGCCGGAATCGAACCCTGCACCTCTGCACTATGAGGCTGACGTGCTAACCAGTCGACCACCGGGCCGCTTACTTGTATTTTATGGTGCTCTAAATACTTCAAGCATTCATCCTTTATTTTAATTTTTTTAGATTGTGGGTCAAATGGAATATTTTTGGAATGCAAAATAAACAACAACCTCACCAAAAACAACAACCTCAAATTCCACATTATTAACGTCCAAGGGGAAGATCACTCTTCTACTTTGTGGTGTTGGAAACAGTGCAAGCATTCATCCATGCTGGAAGCTGAAAGCGGGCCAGGGAACAAAGTTCACCAAGATTGGCTAATATATTTTCTTGGTGTCACATTTAGGTCTAGGGGGCAAAGGTACAGTCTGGCAATTCTTAGTACCATTTGTGTCTTGAAATCCAAGTAGGGTCCCTGGTGTCCTGTGTTTGGAATCACTGTAGTCAAATTACTTCAGGAATTGAAAAGTTAGAAAAAAAAAAACAGTCCCTCATTCCAGTTTCACCGATCAACACGAGATTTGATGGGGCTGTCAACCCCAAAATTTTCTTGGCCATAATATGTTCTGTGCCGCCAAGGGTCTCAACACGACATCCTGATTAATATTCTGTTTGTAGAATATGACTTGAGCACATGAGCCGTGATTAATCGTTACCTGAGCCCTGAGAGAGTGTGATGTCATTTTCAGTCAACAGAAAGTGACAAAACGCCCACCTTCTCAGATGGCTCAACGCGGGTCACTTTTTCTGCTTAACTCATGTTGCACAAATGCAATCTTAATCAGAATGCCGTGTCTTGACTAGCGGAGGTGGACAGAACATATTGTAAAGAAAATTCTGGGGTTGACTCTGCCTTTAAGTCGAACGCTATTTTTATTTGTATCTTCCAGACCAGAATGAATGTGGGTGTGGCACATAGCGAGGTGAATCCCAACACGCGGGTCATGAACAGTCGCGGCATCTGGCTGACCTACGCGCTCGGCGTGGGAATCCTTCACGTTGTGCTTCTGAGCATTCCGTTCTTCAGCGTGCCGCTGGTTTGGACCCTCACAAACGTCATCCACAACTTGGTGAGTAGAACACAGCTCGCTGTATTACCGTGTTGTGTTTTTTTTTCCAGTACAGTGCCATACATGACGGTCGATCTCCATTTTGCCCTAATGGTAACTGCAGCGGTTCCCCAACTGTGTCCGTGGTCTTGTTGTTCCCGCAGGGGATGTACGTGTTCATGCACGCGGTGAAAGGGACGCCTTTTGAGACCCCTGATCAAGGCAAGGCCAGACTCCTCACGCATTGGGAACAGCTCGATTACGGCGTTCAGTTCACATCCTCCAGAAAGTTCTTCACCATTTCCCCCATCATCCTGTAAGCGAATGTGTGTGAGCATTGAGTCAATGTTGAGAATCGAATATTGGCAATGATTTGAATTGACGGCGACTCAAATGCCTTGATTCCCAACACTGATGGCAAGTCATCATACTTCACACATGCACAGCTTGCTTACTGTTTTTTTTTTTGGGTGGGTGGGGGTTGTTTTGCTCCACAGTTATTTCTTGGCGAGTTTCTACACCAAATACGACGCAACACACTTCTTGATAAACACGGCCTCGCTACTCAGCGTGCTCATCCCCAAGCTCCCGCAACTGCACGGCGTGAGGGTCTTTGGGATTAACAAGTACTGAGTCCTTCTTGACGCCCTCTCACCACGTTCCACTCGTATTGTTTTCTGTTGTGCGATATACAATAGGTGGCGCAAAGATCAGAGAGAAATACCTTTTCAAAACTGGATGCCGTGTACATTTGGAACTTGTGTGAATGTTGAACCCTCCTGTTATGATATGGGTCAACCTGACCCGCCTTGGAAATTTCAGAAAAATTTACATGGAAAAAAAAACAGTGAACAGGTATTACTGATCAGACATTTGCAAGTTAAGCTAATTAATGATGAGGTCATGTTTACTCAGATTTGGAGGCAAGGAGGTTTTGACACTTTTCTGGATAGATAAATGTGAGCTCGGTCAAAGTGACCCACTAATCAGCATTGACAATGAATGTTTCATTTCATATATTTGCCAGTAGAGTTATTGAGATATTTAAAATTGAGCGTTCCAGACACCTTTGTCATGAATTCAACTTCCCCCGCGTCAAATTGACACAGATGAATTTTCACACTGTTCAAGGGGAACAAATGCAAAAGGAGGCTATTGTGTTTTAACGCCAAATTGACCTGTTTTAAATTGTTACATTTTTAAATAAGTGGAAACAACATGCACATTTCTCACACATTTCTTGATCATTTAAAATCCCTGGGGTCAAACTGACCTGGATTTTTAAATTTTTTTTCTGTTCCTGATAAATCACTTTAGTTTCACAACAAATTTACATTTATGTAATCAACATATATGCATTCTTGTATGATGAAACATTCCTTGGGTCAAATTGACCCACAAACACTAATGCTGTATGTAACAGGAGGGTTAGTGATGCGTTTTCAGTCTGGTCTGACCCGGGCTGGCCCAGGTGTCAGTGAGGCTTTTGATTGTTTTGTTTGTTTGATTGTTTCTTTATTCTCTGATGTGAATTCACATGCTGACACGAACAGCTAAGATGGTTGCTTCTTTGTTTTAGCCACAGCAATGGCCAAAACGTATTTTTGTTCCCAACAAACAAAAAATGTTTACTTCCCGAGCAGCCCGTGGCTCTGTTATTGGTACACTGATTTCCTAAAGGCTGTCAAATGATTTCCCATTGAGCAATTGAATGAAACCCTCCCCTTATTTACAATTAAAATGTATGTGTGTGGGTGTGTGTATAACTATATTCTATGAATAGTTTAAGTCAATCACGAGGCAGGTGTTTTGTGAATTTCTTTTGTGAATGTGAAATGTTTTAGTGGTGTAAAATGGTCTTGTGGAAGTGAGGGAAATGCCTGATCATTTTGATTGAGGCAAGTCAAACTTCTTGGATCCTATTAACTTGTTTTTACCTTTCCATGGGATCCAACACTTGTTCTATGTGTGGCCCATCTTTAAAAGATATACTACCTTGTTTTTATCATCTCGTTGGACTACTTTTACCCTGCACAGTTTCAAGGCAGCCGTGCCAGATGTAGCAAAGCAGCCACAGAACATCGAGCCCCCACATTTCACAGCAGGTAAAGCATTCTTTTGAGCAGAGATGGGGAGAAGTACTGGCATTTAACACACTTTTCTTTTTTTTTTGTTGGGGGGGGGGTATTTTCACCTTCAGCATTTAGAATAAAGTTCAGCGTTAGAAATTCGAATTCAAATTGACTCAGAAATATTTCCATACAAGTTACAATGAAATCTCCAGACCAATCCGGTGTCAGAAAGTTTGGTTGTCCTTTGGGGCTGCTTTGCTAAAACAGAGCCGCCTCCGCGTATGTTGAAATCACAAGATGAACCAGTATTTTCAACCTCCACATGAATAACACATCTGCAATGAATGTTTTAAACAGAGATTTATTAAAATTTTAATATAAAAGTAGTAAGAGATACTCTTCAAGGAGGCACACCGTTGAGCTCGTCGCACTGTCGTCTCATGACTCCCTTGTAAACCTCAAAGTGATGGTTCAGGTTTCTCAGCGTATGGATTTTATACTTAGTCCCCAGGGCTCCGTCAGCAAAAGTCGAGCCGTAGAACACGCGACCGATCCGCGAGTGGACCAGCGCCATGGCGCACATGACGCACGGCTCTCTGGTCACGTACAGGTCGTACCCAGTGCAGATGTACGGCTTCTGCGCCAATTCAGAGACGGATGTCGGAATCGAGCGGCAAGCAGGGTACGTGTCCAACCTGTAGTGGCCGCCGCCTTGCCCTTGGGCCACCAAGTCAATGCACACCATGACAGCATGATATAGTGGGTGTCGCCCTCGGCAATCGTGGCCCACTGCCACGATTCTCTCAGAGATCGGGTCCACCACTACAGCCCCCACGGCCTCCAACCTCAAGGCCTTCCCTTCTTGGGCGGCAGACAAAGCCACCGACATGTATGTGTGCATCTGGGCTTTCTGAGCCGGGCTGAAGGACTCTCCTCGGAGGGCGTCGGTCACCTGCTTGTCTTCGTGGAAGGAGGTGGGCCAGTGCTTGCTTGCCAGCTCAAATTGGGGTCTGGTTAAAGCGGGGCGCACGGGTATTTTGACAACAAAGGGTTTGCCCAACCCATCACATCCAATACTCAACGAGCCCAAGTCCGAGTTTGGAACTTTACTGACGGGACACAGGAGGATCTCCAGGGAGTGAGGGCGGCCCTCCTCTGCCTTGGTGGAACGAACCCTCTTGACGTGCTGCAGGCCTGTCAAGGGGTAGCGGTTGTTGAGCTCTCCGATCAGTCGGGATGTTGCTCGCTTGTCGAGGACAGGGGCGGCAAAGACGTCAACCAGCTCTACGGCATGCATCTGCTCATCCGAAAGGACTGGGTACGGCGTCCAGGAGTCGGGGTCACATGCCGCGCCTTTCCGCCGCTTGCTTGCTGGTTCCATTAAAAAAAAAAAAAAAAAAATTCTCCTGTCGGATGGGATGCACAGCAAAGTTAGTGTCCCGCACACGACAGTTGGATCGTCTCGATTCTATTCTCAATTCATTGATATAAAAATTCTATTTGACATTTTCAGGGTCATGACATATCAGCAAAGCAGCCCCAGAATATAACCAAGCTTTCGCTGTTCCACGGTAGGTACGTGTAATTCATTCAGATGTAGCAGAGCAACCCCAGAACATAACAGAGACCAAGCTCTCTGACGTCAGCCAGCATTTTTCGCTCTAGAATGACGTTATTCGTCTTAAGCTTTGCTTGTACTCCACAGAAATTCAAGACAACAATTTTGCAACATGATACAAACAAATTTTCAATGTTAACAATTTTGCCTGGGCATATGTACACAAGACCTGCTACAAATAATAGAGAAGATGCGCTTACCTTCCGGGGTTGCTTTGCTAAATCGAGCACAGGGTGTCTTGTATCTGTGCAGGGTACAATGACATCTCAAAGAATAAGTTGCCTAAAAATGGAGGATCTTCACCCAGCCTAGTATCCACATCATGGGTTGGAAAACTGTGTGCGGACAGTATGCATATTTGCGTCGTTCACAATTTTTCAACATTCGAAACCCGCTCACAGACACATTTGCAGATAGGCAGCTCAAAAAAGATTGACGAGCTCGTTAAATTTCCCACTTACAGCGTTAATTCAACGTTCTGTTCAAAATGAAAATGTAGCTTGTCTGTCATTCACACAAAAAGACATGTTCACACTGACATTTGCATTCGGTCCCATTTATTTATTCAAATGTGTTCATGTTTAGTCACCAAAAAATATATATAATTTTCAAAAATAATTTAAAAAGATGAGGAAAAAAAAAGGGTAGAAAAAGAAGTTTTATCGAAAACATTTTCTTTGATTATTAATGTTTACTAAGGGTCAATCTGATCCGAAACCTAAGAGGACTACTCCAGTGATTCCCTTACCACGAACCGCAGCACATTGTGTCGTGAGAGCTAATCCACTGTATTTATTTGGTGGTGTGCTGTGTTTCCGAAATGTAAAATATGTGCCTTGGATCCGTAAAGGTTGAGAAACACTGGGCTAGTCAACAGTCCCCCCCCCCCCCCTTCCCCGACTCATTTCCTCCAGAGTAGAAGCTTGGTCTTCAAGACTTTGGGCACGTGTCGAATGGTCAGCGACACTCTGGTTCCCCGAGTGAGCGTTTCGCCGGGCTTGGCCTCGGCGGCGTGCAAGTTCAACACCTTGCCTGTCAGAGCGTCCAGCGTGCGTGCTCCAATGCCGTGGAGAAGGTTCCTGTAAGCGTCGTCCTGCAGCACTAACAAGCTGCGTGGCCTCAAGAGCAACGAGAAAAGATGCCGGTCCTCCTCCAATGCCGCAACCGTGTCATCATTGTCGCCCTCCAACCGGCCGACGGGCATGTAAAAGTCAAGCAGGGCGTGTGAGCCCAGGGTGACAGTGGTGACCGTCGGGTGGTACAGGGGTCCGTCCTCGTGGGGCATAATCCCCTCTCCCGGTTTGTACTCGTTCACCAGCACGTGGTTGGCCGTTTTGCCATCGAACGCCCCATGGGAGGAAATTTTCTGGCAGTACGTGTGAAGCCAGCCGGGCATTCTCTCCTCCAGCATGCCTTTGGGATGCGGCAAGCCTCCCCAGTTCTGCAGCCTCCTGCCGGACAACTGAGTCCACTTGGGTTTAGGGGACTGATAGACCTGCTGCAGGAGGTAGGCCTCCTCTTCGTCAGATATGAATGCAGGGATGTAATAGACTGTGGGTGGAGCGCCACGCACGACAAATTGCCGCAATTCCTCGGAAATACATGGCGGGTGTTCCATGTCTCCTTGAGGGAAAATTATATGGAAAAATGTGGGATATAAACTCAATTCGAGAACGAGAGGACGCTGCTACGCGTGAACATGAAGAACAAACCCAAGACTTCACCACACCGTTGCACAAAATATGTCATCACAACGTTGCATTGCAAAAAGAGGATGAACGAATAATCATCTTTACCTTTAGGACATCAATACTTCGGTCCTAGGATGTAAAAGGAGTCCATTAAATGTGTCTCTCGCGGTGACGACTTAGTGCAGCAGACTAAAGCGTCCTCCCTAAACGGAAATAACGTAACAGGAACCATCCGTCCTCCACTACAACTTCTCTCAACGTTTTCGCGTTAAAAGCGAAAGATGCATTTTAGGTTTGTGGTGTGCATTACTGTATTTTTCAATTTATTATTTGTCTAATTTAGGAATTCTCCCTTGTTTAAGATGTTCCGTCTATTTTTACGGAATTATTTACATGTGACACACCCTAATCAAACATATTTAAGAAAAATACTCTGCCTTAATTTATTTGAATGTATGTATAAACCCTGGCATTGTCTGTACTATTTTGTAAATTAGTATACTGTTACGTGTTTCCAACATGTTAATTTCATGTATATGGTATACAGTTCTGTGCTTTTTCATCCAAAAACACGACACACACTCAAACACGCACACATATTATAATCACTTTTCTACCACTTGGTGGCGAGATTGCAACAAGGTCCCAAGAAGAGGAAGCCGTAGTAGTAGAAGAAGAAATTAACCGGAAGTTGGTATTCATTGACTTTGGAAGAATAATAAATGTATTTAATACTATCCGATATCAGTGTATCAACCTCTCTTTTTCTCTCTTAATTTAAAATTTCAAGTGAGATGACTTGCCCGTTTAAACTGACTGCAAATACTCGTTAGCATGTTCGCTTCCAAAGCGAACAAGCTCATCCAGAGACTGCTTTTTCCATTTAAACGGCGGCGGTATGGCGACGTCGCGATGGAGAAAAGCTCCCCGGTCTCCGATTCCTCTCGGCTGGTTTTGGGTATTGAGACGAGCTGCGACGACACCGCAGCGGCCGTGATCAGTGAGACGGGCACTATCCTGGGCGAGTGCCTCCACTCTCAGAAAGAGGTGCACCTCAGGTGAGCCCAAGGTCACCTGTCAAAAGAGTAATCGTTCGGACTCCCTCCGCCCCCTTTTTAAATCTGACACTGTAGCACTCCCTGAAAAGTTGAGAAAATTGCTTGTCTGAGTTAAACTCTACCAATGTAGGACGGGTGGCATCGTCCCCACTGTGGCCCAGCAGCTCCACAAGGAGCACATCGAGCGTGTAGTCCAGGAGGCGTTGGAGAGGAGCGGCGTGGACCCACGTCAGCTGTCGGCCGTGGCCACCACGGTGAAGCCGGGCCTGGCCCTGAGCTTGGGCGTGGGCCTGGAGTTCAGCCGGAGTTTCGTCAGGCGCCACAGCACGCCCTTCATCCCTGTCCACCACATGGAGGCCCACGCCCTGACTGTCCGCTTACTCCAGCCTGTCCCCTTCCCCTTCCTGGTGCTGCTGGTCTCAGGCGGGCACTCACTGCTCGCTGTGGCTCGTGGCGTGGACGATTTTCTTCTGCTGGGTCACACTTTGGATGAAGCTCCAGGTGATACTTTAGATAAGGTGAGATGCTTTTCGGTCATTCACTGCCACAAAACTGCCCCGCCCCACCCCACCCCACCATCTCCTGTGTTTGACAGGTGTTTTTGTGTGCATCCACAGGTGGCAAGACGTCTGTCGCTGACCGAGCATCCACGATGCTCCACGCTGAGCGGAGGACAGGCTATAGAGCTCCTGGCTCAGCAGGGCGACCACTTGAGGTTTCCTTTCAGGACGCCCATGGGACAAACGTACGACTGCTGCTTCTCTTTTTCCGGCCTACGAAATCAAGTTAACACGACTATAGAGAAAAAAGAAGCAGAGGAAGGTACGAGGAACTTAGTCCGCCATCAGCCAACTCTCCACATATTTTATTTATTTATTTATTTATTTATTTTTAGCAAATGTTGCAATGTTTTGTAAGAAGTAACTTTCACCTTTGAGGGTCACAAGAGTCCATGAGTGGGCTGGTCACTCTAACCTGGATTTCCCTGTGTCAAAAGTCAACGGTGTTGCTCACAAATATTTAAGAAGAAAGTGACCTTAAATTTACTTCAACTGAAGTTAAAGCTCTTTCATTTTGCCCAATTCAAGCTTCAACCCAATCTGCAGGCTCAAAATAATGAACCCAACCTTGGGTAAAGCTAACTATTTGATCGCCGCATGATGGACCAGCTCAGTAATTCCCCTCCGCCCACAGGAATCGAACGCGGAACTCTGCTGTCCTGCGTGAACGACATAGCGGCGGCGACGCAGCATACGGTCGCGTGTCATCTGGCCAAGCGTACGCATCGCGCCGTCCTCTTCTGTAAGGCCAACGGACTGCTGCCCTCGCTTGCGCCGACATTGGTGAGTCAATAGTAAATGGGCTGCCACTTGTTTAGCGCTTTTCTACTTTAGGTACTCAAAACACTTGACCTCATTCATCTATTGATGACGCAGCATCAGAAGCAACTGGGGGTTCAGTATCTTGCTCAAGGACACTTCGACATGGTCGCAATGGCTGGGGATCAAACCACCAACTTCTGTAGTTGGGAAACGACCACTGAGCCATGCCGCCCCAGTGCATATCACTCTCCGACATGAAAAATGGCAAAATGATTGGACGTGGACGATTGGATACATCAACAGTTATGTTTGGGGTCAAGTTACCTGTTTTATATTTTTGAAAATTAAAAAAAACTAAATTTAAAAAAAAAAAGAACAGCGAAGGCCCGAAGAAGATAAATCTGCTTCTTTTTTTCCTTTTCTCGATTTTCAATTTTACCCACAACATTTTCAACGATGTGTTACAGGTTCTGTCGGGAGGCGTGGCAAGCAATCAGTATATCCGCAAAGCTCTGGGCATCATCGCCGAGGCAACCGGCCTGCGCCTGCTCTGCCCTCCCGCCAAATTCTGCACCGACAATGGCGTGATGATCGCGTGGTGCGTCACCACCGTTTCTTTGGACTGAATTTTTTTTTTTGACCTTTTCGCGTCTTGATGCCATCAGGAACGGAGTTGAGCGACTCAGGGAAGGGAAGGGAATTCTGCCTCCCGACGCGGACGTCAGCTACGAGCCAAAGTACGCGCGTACGTGTGGGTTGCATTATTTTATGAATTTTGTCAATGAGATGTTTTGTTTCAGGGCACCACTGGGCGTGGACCTAACATCCCAGGTGAAGGCGGCGGCCATCAAGGTGCCGTCAGTCCGGATCAAGATCTCATAAACTTTGACAACTTCAGCAGATTCACTCATGTGGATGTCATAAACGCTTTTCAACGATTCTTCATCGATGAAGCGGGTGTTATTTTGGGGAATCGTGACTTGCGGAAGGCCATTTTGCCAGATTTGTCCAGTTGTAACAGATGTGAAGCGCATGGGACATGACGTGATGTCAACACCAACGGTCAGATTTTATTTGTTTGTTCCAGACAGTTCCAGACACAAAAGCGTCTTTAAAATGTACACAAATCTCCAACCCCGATTTTGAAATCACCTTGATTCCGACATTTCCATCTCTGGCACCGTTTTATCAATTAAACAAACCCTCCTGTTCTGCTGCGGGTCAAACTGACCCATTTAAAAGCCTAATCAGAATGTACAATGAAAATTCACATACAGTCAAACCTCGGTTTTCGAATGTCTGTGTTATCGACCAAATCGAATTCCAACCAGAAAATTCTCTATTCTTACGCCTCAGTTTACGACCAAAAAAACGGTTTTCGCCCAAAGTGAGCAAACCCGAATACTCTACTCGACTCCTCTCGGCTTCCTTCCTGTGTTTTGCTGGATTTTGTTTTACGTTTCTGACACGTGTGGATAATTAAGCATGCCTCAGTTGGTTTCTTACTACAGAGGGGCGAAGGACGAAAGCAGCTCAATCCTTACGGTCCTAACGAACTATTGTTTACAGTTGTACAAAATGATACCCTATCTGCGTCGATACAGATTTTGCGGAGTTTTAAAGCTTCAGTGTCGTCAGACCCTAAACACATTTGTGGACTATGAAAAGTTATAAAAATAAAAAAAAAATAGTCACGGGCTAGAAGAAACGATAGCACGCTTTGAATGTACTACAAGTCGAAAGGGCTAAAGCTCATCGTGTTGATAAATGTTGTACTCTTTTGCACTGATGATCCCGTCTTTGTCGGTGTCGGTCTTACGGAAGATGTCGGTGACAATCTTCTCGTAGAAGGGGTCGTCTCGGGGCTTGCCTTCTTTTTCATACTCCATCTTCAGGTGGGCTTTGATCTGGAAATACCAGCAAACGTTGCTCGCAAGCCTTCTGGAGCCAATCATGTGTTAACGCCGACACTGTTCTCACCTCCTCCTTTGTAAGACTTCGGTCTTGGTTGACGTCTACTTCGCCAAAAGCTTCCACGCTGCGTGGACCGCGAGACACGGAGTAGACCTCCACTTCAAAAACCACCGTCGCATTGGGTGGGACGGGTCCTGTATTTTAAAAGGGACCTTATTTAATTGTTTGTACTGTATACCAACAGTTTTTATTTTGTGATCGGGTTGCTTTGTGGTTAAGTGCTGCCCCCACAAGTGAAAACACACGCCACTAAGACTAATTAAATTGAATAATAAACTCCCCCCACAAAGAGTTTCTATGCCCATGACTCATGAGCAAAGATGGGGTGAAGATCAGACTGCTTCGCTGTCTGAAACATAGTCATGGCAAAGCCAATAGGTAAGCAAAGCTGCATTGAGTTAGCTTAGGTTTAATTGACCCCGAGCGACCTTTCCATCCAATTTTGTGTCGATTGCTGAAACGGACCCCGGTACATCGCTTTTAATGGTAAATGAATGGAACGGGAGAGTTAATTAAGTGTGTGTTTTCACTCTGTAGCCATCAGACGTGAGGTTTGCATGCAGACTGGTACAAAGACAACGTGCGCATTCAAGCAACAAGTCGACGAAGTGAGCAGAAGTGCTGTGGGAGGGCAAGTGTAGAACCTTAAAACCTCAGTGCATGCTTACAGTCATGCCACGGGTAGACGAGAAAGGGGATGCGGGGCCCTCCTCTCAGCTAGAGTAACTGCAAGGCAAGGACACAATATGAAAGAAGCTCTGATTGGACAGAGACACGAGCGACGGTAGCATCCAACCGGCTACCTTTGCCTTTCTCTCCAAAGGCCAAGGCGGGCGGAACAGTGATTTTCCTCTTCTCCCCCACACACATGTCCACCATGCCGATGTCCAGGCCCTTGATGACTTGTCCCACGCCCAGGACGAACCACTGCGGGTGGCCAGCTTTGTCGTGGCGACTGAAAGAACATTTATACAACATTTGATATTCAACTTGAATATCAGCTCCAAACGCATTATCGGATTATATCAGTGTACGTCCAGCATCTGTGATATTAGCAGAGTAGTATCGGACAGTATTCTAGGCTACAATATCGGTATCATATTGGAAGTGGAAAAAGTTGTATCAAGACGACACCAGTTTCACAGTTCCATTGACAAAATTCAACAGGAAATTGAACATTTTTGTTAGAAGCAGCCCTTTTGGTGGAAGTGTTATGTTCTTTTTGTCGCTGCTGATTTAATATTGTGCTTTTTTATCTATCTGAAAGATTGCAGGTTCATGCACTGGCTCCAGATGAAGCGATTGAAAAGATCCTAAAGACCGTCATCTTTAAACTAGTTGTGAGGGTGTTACAATGTGCATTTAAGAAAGTCATTTCAAACAAAAAGCTTACTTGATGTTACAAGTGAATGTAATAAGAGACGCTTTCCCACTGACCTGCAGTAGAACTGGGACCCATCTTTGGCGAGGAAGCCGTCATAGTGGACGTTCATCAAGTCTCCTCTCTTGCTCTTTTTTTCGCACGTGTCGGGCTGGTACACCACCTCGATCTTGACCTCATCATCCGCCCAAACGCTCGCGTCCCGGAGCTGAGAGCACACAAATACGCACAGCGTGTAGTAGCTCACTAACTTGGACATGTTTGAGCGGCGTCGTCTGCCCAACTGCTGCAGTCGTGGCAACTTTTGTCTTTCTGGCGTGTGGACACTAGAGGGCGTGGTGAAAATTTGTCTTTATCCCTGTGTTTAGTCTGTCAGGTATGACTGGCTGAGATTGAGAGCTATGTTTGACACAAAAAGAAAGGTATAAACATTCCAAGTTCTGTTGTGCTTGTTCTTTTGAAGGTCACGGGTGAGCTGGATCTTTTTCCCGATTACCTTTTTTCTGTAAGAATTGGGGAGTAGGCCGGAGTTGTTGCCAGCGTTTGCAAAGCAGAAATAGAGTACCCGTATAATTGCATTTTACATCAAGGTATTTGAAAGTGTTTCGCAAAAGAAAAGTTGTGGCAGGAGCTTCCAACGTTTGTAAGAAGTACGTATCTCACTGGTAGCCCTTCGCACAATTTAGCAGTACCTTTGTGTTTTAAAAGGGTGGCGAGTCGCGTTCTGAGCAATATCCGCGAATGCCCGGGGGTCCGCTTTACTCGACACACTGTACTGTACTGTAAGGGATCGTCGTAACCGACGTCACAAGAGGGCGTGGTGAAAATTTGTCTTTATCCCTGTGTTTAGTCTGTCAGGTATGACTGGCTGAGATTGAGAGCTATGTTTGACACAAAAAGAAAGGTATAAACATTCCAAGTTCTGTTGTGCTTGTTCTTTTGAAGGTCACGGGTGAGCTGGATCTTTTTCCCGATTACCTTTTTTCTGTAAGAATTGGGGAGTAGGCCGGAGTTGTTGCCAGCGTTTGCAAAGCAGAAATAGAGTACCCGTATAATGCATTTTACATCAAGGCATTTGAAAGTGTTTAGCAAAAGAAGAAAAGTTGTGGCAGGAGCTTCCAACGTTTGTAAGAAGTACGTATCTCACTGGTAGCCCTTCGCACAATTTAATGCGTAAGGAAAGCAGTAACTTTGTGTTTTAAAAGGGTGGCGAGTCGCGTTCTGAGCAATATCCGCGAATGCCCGGGGGTCCGCTTTACTCGACACACTGTACTGTACTGTACGGGATCGTCGGAACCGGAAAGTCAAAAGGCGGCTGCGGTCGTGGCTCGAGCTTTGCTTCTTTTAGCTTCGCAGTCGGGGTCTGCAGCTCAATGACAGGATGTTCTCGCTGAAGGCGTCCCCCTTCTCGACTTTCGCTATTACACACAAAGGGAACCTAAATGAGTCTGAAACTGAAACGAGCCGCTTTTATGAAGCCTTATCGGGAACACAAATCCACATGCGCATGACACGACTGCTGCTAATACCTAGCTATGACGTTGTAACGGCACATATACTCTTGGCGATCACGCCGCCTTAAAATACGAACTGGGACTCGGTTGCTGTTGTAAAAAATGTTGTGAACTTCCCTTTACACCTTACCTGTGTGGAATTAGATCCTGCATTAGTTAGAGGATTCAACCAAATAGCGCATCCAAACTGTGTAGCTTCGCAGTCGGGGTCTGCAGCTCAATGACAGGATGTTCTCGCTGAAGGCGTCCCCCTTCTCGACTTTCGCTATTACACACAAAGGGAACCTAAATGAGTCTGAAACTGAAACGAGCCGCTTTTATGAAGCCTTATCGGGAACACAAATCCACATGCGCATGACACGACTGCTGCTAATACCTAGCTATGACGTTGTAACGGCACATTTTCTCTTGGCGATCACGCCGCCTTAAAATACGAACTGGGACTCGGTTGCTGTTGTAAAAAATGTTGTGAACTTCACTTTACACCTTACGTGTGTGTAATTAGATCCTGCATTAGTTCAACCAAATAGCGCATCCAAACTGTACAGTACCTGGTGATAGAAACACACCAAAAACTCGAGACAAAAGCAACAGATTTGGTCGATACGTGATTAACAGTACAGTAACGTGTTTAGTTAAAACAGCTGAAAACTAGATCAAAATACATACACAAAAAAAGTGAACAGAATGTTAATGACAGGCGGCAAAATGAATGCCCGATTCGGTTTAAGTCTGTAGATTGATTCAGCCAGTCCATAACCTTGCATCACCTTGCACATCTTGCCCCCACTGAACTTCTTTATTGTTCTGGGTCAGTACCTGATTCCTCCCAGCATACATTGTGGTCTTGTTTTCATGCGGACGACACAACCCGGACAAGTGCGGAGATTCACCCCATATTCTAGTAAATTCGCTCACTCCTGCCCCTGTCCTTGTGTCTTGGGAGGAGTAAGCTTAAAACGACTTTTACCCACCTACTGCGTGTCATATTGATTCGATAAAAAAAAAAAAATCTAGAAAAAAAAAGACAAAACACAACCTTTGGATCGAACTGGCCTCAATTCTCTCTCTCTCTCGTGCATTATTCTGCATTTGTTAAACACCCATTGAGGGCATGTTAGAATTCCTTGAGTTTTAGAACTGTATCAACACAATAAGACAGTACGTTTGTACTTGTTTGTAGTTTCTGCTGCCTTTTGATATTTCACTTAGCAGAAAATAACGACAAGTAAATTACAACCTTGACGAACAAGTAGGCCAAGCTTCGTCTTAGGTGCAAGCCCTGAGGTATGTGAAAGAACAACATTTTATAGATTGCTAAAAAAGTGTGCGGTGCAGGTGGTTAATGTGCAATGAAAAGCAGCATTTGCAATTATGTAAATCATTTTGACCATAAACACGACAGCGTATTCATTGGTGGGTAGCACGAAAATAAGCACGCACGTAAACACAACGTGAAAGAAGTTAACGTGGCACCGTTTGGATCCGTCATCTCCCTCCGAATCATAATTTTACTTCTTCCTCTTTTTCCATCCTCATTCATCCATGCTTGTAAAGAAACGGGGGAAAAAAAGAAACATGGCAGTATATGCTAGCTCACAAGTTAAAACCATGAGTGACATTGTTTACCAAACAAGACAGCTTTGTGGGAACCCGGCATTGAGGACACAAGACTGCCTCCTTAATGTTGGACACAGTGCCAAGTGGCTAAATACAGCAGGTTCACCCACTTAAAATCCCAGTGAGCTATCTTGAAAGTTAATTGAGACTGGAGCCAAATAGTAGATTAGCTCGCCAGTCGATGCTCATTCCGGGGGAGTTATCACGCAACGCAGGGGAGTGCTATTTACGTAAAAGCTTAGAATACAGCCAGGGGTTGAAGGAGCAAAATCAACTCATTCGTGATGACAAAGTTACATATGGACCAAAAAAAAAAAAACAATTCTGAAAAGAAACCTTCAATAACTTGAAATGAAAGAAAATTGGACGCTGGTCCACCTTTTGCTGCTGAGACGACATTTCAGAGTGCATTTAAGTCGTCTTTGTGGAACCACCGTCAGGAAATTCCGTGAATGACCGAGAATGTGCTCAACTGTAGAAAATGGCCGACCCAAACAATGACCGAATCAGTTTCAAAAAGGTTACAACAGTAATCGGTAAAAATTGTTTTGTAATACGCTTGAATGCAAAACCAAATTCTATCCCATTGTTCCATTAATCAATGGAATCATCAATAGAATAATCGATTCAAAAAGTATTTGATAAAAGAATAAGCAGTTTAAGAATCAACTCCTCCTTTAAAACGAGATCACACAAGCGACAAGAAGCCAACTAGTCAATCTTCAGACTCAAACCCGATGGAGTATGTGTTGCACTTGCTCACCAGATTTGTGAAAGGCAAGAAATCTCTGTCTAAAGTCTTTAATTTTACACATGTCCTATATTTATTAATTTTTTTGGGGAAGATGAACTGCTTGTTGTTGTTTTAAACAAGCAGTGGATCATGTTGATTTTCGGAAGCGAGCGCAGCGGGAGGCTGAAGATGCAAAGCCAAACTTGAGTGAGTAGTAAGCTGACTAACTGGTGTTTTACGGCCTGTGTGACCGAAAAGGATTACGGAGTCCAAACAGAACCAAAGGCCTCGTGACAATGTGACACATCGCAGACGGAAATAGAAAGAAGAAGCAACTGTTGACAAGTGGCTCGTTGGCACAGCGCGGGTGTTAACTGGCTGGATTTGCAAGCGAGCATACACAATCATGACGTTAATCTGCTATGACATGTCGGAAACGCATTTGCACATAGTCGCACACTTGGGAGAAGCCAGAACAGCGCTAATGATTTGACATTAAATCATCAATGGACCGATTAATCCTCTTGTTTCTGTTACGGTTCACACTGATGCAATTTCAAGTTCAATCAACCTTTTCCAAGAGTGTCTCCCTCCTCCAACACACCCGATTCAAACGATCAGCTCATCAGCAAAACTTTGCAGAAGACCGACAACGATCCCGATCGTTTGAATCTGGTGTGCTGGAGGAGGGAGACCTCAAAGACTGGCTGGACAGGGGCTTTTCCGGGACCGGACTTGGGCACCCCTGGCATAGAATAACACAGCAAGCAACAATGCATGCAAGTAGACTGAAGACTCGCAGTATAAGACCCATAGAAATAAAAACACCGTACCGTACCATTTTGTAACGCTTATCCGGGGTGTGGTCGCGGGGGGCAACAGCTTTAGCAGGGAAGCCCAGACTTCAGACTTCCTTCTGCCCAGCCACTTCTTCCAGCTCTTTTCGGGAAGGCCTTCCCCAGCCAATCGGGAGACATCGTTTCTCCGGCGTGTCCCGGCTCGTCCCCCGGGGCCTCCTGCCGGTGGGACCTGCCCGGAACACCTCACATTTTCATTTTCAAACACACACACACACACACACACACGCTAAGTTAATCCTGCGACCAGGAGCATGTCCAAACAGACGCTCTTAATAGAGAGACTCGGCTTTCACGCTTCGTCTGCACGCTCACCTTGAACAGCTCGGGATGTTTGCGCATTTCTTACACTTCATGTGATATGCAGGAGGGGGGGGGGAAATCAATATTTTCAGTGGAGAAGAACCATCTTGTAAAATGTCTCATCCATGTGCAACACGGGCACTCAGAAAGCAGTTTGCCGAGTGCTTTCTTCATGCATTAGCCGCACACGCTGACTCGCTACCGCTTCGGCGTTGGTCGACAGATGCCGTGTACTGTCAATATTGCCCTCTCGTTGAATTAGGTACACAGAAGTGCTTTGTGTGTCCCAGTACACAAAGTTACCTCGAAGGTTGGCTGGAGTGATGTGACACGGCGTGTAGAACGCCTAATATGGCACGCGAGCAAAAATACGACATTAAATAAAGCAGTACTGTACGTCGCTGTCCCGAGAAAAACAATTTATGTATGGTTTAGATCGCCAGTTCTCTAACGGCGTGTAGAACGCCTAATATGGCACGCGAGCAAAATTACGACATTGAATAAAGCAGTACGTCGCTGTCCCGAGAAAAACAATGTATGTATATCCTACATCATTACTTTTACCCCTTAAACAGGACAACTTTTCTCTTATTTTGAAAGTGTTAGTCAGGCTCCCTCTAGTGGTACGCGAAAGAATAACAGTCAAGTTCATCAGTACAAAATATTAGCATTTTATCCTCAAAAACGGTTTTGAAGCATCAAGATACATTTTTCATTCACGTTTTATGGACAATTTTCATTTACAGTTTTATGTAACATATTTTATGTAACATACTTTTAGCTTTTCTCATCAGGTGGGAGAGCTTGGAAACATTTTTGCAATTCTTTACTCTCATAACATTACATTTTCTTCTACATTTTTAAAAATCCGACGTCATTACTTTTTCCCCTCAAACAGGACAACTTTTCTCTTATTTTGAAAGTGTTAGTCAGGCTCCCTCTAGTGGTACGCGAAAGAATAACAGCCAAGTTCATCAGTCCAAAATATTTGCATTTTATCCTCAAAAAGGGTTTTGAAGCATCAAGATACATTTTTCATTCAAATTTTGTGGACAATTTACATTTACAGTTTTATGTAACATACTTTATGGAACATACTTTTAGCTTTTCTCATCAGGTGGGAGAGCTTGGAAACATTTTCCCTGGTCTCCTACATATGAAGCTTTCGAGGTAGGGTGCTGAGTTGCGGGTCTTCTATTTCCGACTTTGCCGCTGTGTCACGATCAGCGTGTGAACGGGACTACAATGTTGACTCTATTAATCCAAGTGTCACACACAATTTGGCAGGGCAAAGGGCCAGAGAATGCCCGGAATTCAGACTTGGTCAATTCATACACTTTTACAGGCAAAACCTGCATTTTTTTTTTCTTTTCCATCGACAAGATAGGACAACTGGGACGAACCAGTTACGCAATACCATAACCAAGTGCTGCCTCCATGAGTGAAAATGCAATCGATATAATGTTAGGAAAGGATTTGCCATTTGCCTTCTCGAAAGTTTTGCTCTCCAAACGGCTTCCGTCAAGTCAACAAGTGGCCGAAAGGTTTATTCCTTTAAAACGGTCTCACGGAAACGTGTGTGTCACTGATATCGCTCCCTGTGGTGCCAACTGTGTGAGGAGCAAACAGATAAGTGCTGTTAGCATTGGAATTGGCCCAATTCTTGCTCAGACTTGACGCTTGCACACCGTCACCAAGCCACGAGCCGGATTGTCTTTTACTGCCACGTTATGAACATGATAAACGGAAACAAGATAAGATATGCATTTGAAAACGGACTCATTAATGTTTTGTTTTTTTTCCCCAACGTAGGAGAAGAAATGCCGGCATCCTGCCCAGTCTGGAGGATTTGCTTTTCTACACAGTCGCCGAAGGTCAAGAAACTATTCCGGTGCATAAATTCCTCACGGTAAGTCCTGCAGTTGCTTTCGTTCGTAGGCCCATAAAACAACCCATTTTGAAGACCTTCTGACATGACAATACCTGACACGGACGGCCATTCTGGTTTTAGACTCATTTTGGCCATTCCAAAGGGGGCTTGTACTAGAGAGGTTTTTTTTTTTTTTTTGCGTAACACAACCATATTTGAACAAAATACGCAAAATATTTGCGTATTTGCCATTGCCTCTGGGTCATGTGTCATTTTGACTCACCGTAAGTCAATGAGCATTTTTTTCTTTTCCGTTTTTTTTTTTTTTGGAGTGAACCAATGCTGTTTCTTGTCGTCTCACACTTCCAGGCTCTTAAAACCACAGGACTTCGCACTGGAGATCCCAGACTCAAGGAATGTATGGAAACACTCAAAGAAACCTTAAAGACCACTCCGGACGGCGTCACGTTGGACAGGCACCAGTTCAAGAAGTGAGTCGCCTCGAGTCGCAGTATTTCCCAAGTTGAGAGGGAAACATGATGCAACTACTGCATTTGAACGCAATATTGTTCCATGAAGCACTCTGGAATGTTGACACAACAACGCCACGAGCCTAAACGCTACACGGCAACACGCCATCTCAATATGGGTTCATGGTAGCTGAACCGATGAACCACCATCTTGTCGATGAAGCGTCTTCATCGACAAACCGACGCAAAGTTTGTCACACGTCAGGGTTGCAAACTCGACTGGCAAACTTTTTTTTTCTCCCCCCTCCCCTCGGTTGCATGCGGTCGCCGTGTTTGAGCATGCTGTTTGTTTGTGGTCTTGTTCATCAGGTGTGTCCAGAGCAACATTGTCCTGCTCACGCAGGCCTTCCGCAAGAAGTTCGTCATCCCCGACTTCCAGTCCTTCTCTTCCCGCATTGATGAGCTATACGAGAGTGCCAAATCGCTCTCTGAAGGGCAGGTTTGTCCTTTGTCGTCACTTCACTCGTTGCTTCATTCGCGAGGCTTTGGACAAAAGCGTGTCACGGGCGAATAATGTGTCACTTGAAAGAGGCAAGTTAGGGGAGGCTTTCTTTTCTCTCCACTGTGTCTTGGCAGTGTCAACAAAACGTTTTTTGAAGCTTTCTTTTCTCCATCTGCATGACCATGCATTAAATTTGGCGATGGCCGCTGTTGATCAATCATGACTCTTCTCCTCTTGTCACGTGGTTCTTGTGGTTGGTGTCCCGACTTGAGGATTCATGCGGAGGTGTCACATTTCCACTGATCCTCAAGCGTCGAGCTGGAGCTGTGCTGGCCTTTTTTTTCCAGATGCGTTATTTGATTTCTCTCCTCCTTCAGGTCGCCGACTACATTCCTCAACTGGCCAAGTTCAGTCCGGACATGTGGGCCGTCTCTCTGTGCACAGTGGATGGCCAGAGGTGAGGCAAGAGCTCAAATGAGGGCGGGGCGGCCACGGGTTGATTTGCTTTTCTGCAGTGACGATGCACACGGCATGCCGAAGCCACACAAAAAAAGTCTCACGTCCCAAATTGAACAGGGAGTCAACTATTTTGGTGGGCTTGATTCTGGTTTGAAGCAGAACTTTTGTGCCGATTCCACGAAAAACGGGGACCCTCATTCATCACTGCTTAAACGATGTGTTTCGGTTGTTTTTGTGTATTGGTGCCAATCACGGACCCCATCAGCTGATTCTGTATTGTCTGTCTGTTGTAGGCACACAGTGGGCGACACCAAGGTGCCCTTCTGTCTGCAGTCATGCGTCAAGCCTCTCAAGTACGCCGTCGCCGTGCACGACCACGGCACCGAGTATGTGCACAGTTTCATCGGGAAGGAGCCCAGCGGGCTGCGCTTTAACAAGCTCTTTCTGGATGAAGACGGTGGGTCCATTAAAACTTTTACCTTCAACCTTTGAGGCTCAAATGGCCTCATGGTTGCCCAGATAACAACCAATCATGGCTCAGCTTCAGAAAATACTTAGGCTGTGATTGCTCGTTACCTGAACTCTGAGCAACTGTGATGTCATTTAGCCAAAATGGCCGCCCCTTGAGACAGTTAAAGACGGGTCGATTTTGCCACTTAACTCATATTCCACTAATGCGATATCAATCAGAATGCCGTGATTATGAGAGTGGAGGTGCATATTACTATCAAAACATTTTGCGGCTCGATACTCAGAGGGAATACCTCCATTACATAATCCTGTGCTATTTTGTCACAATATGGTGTGCGGGAATTTTGCCAGCGCTGTTGCGCAAAAGGAGATCATGTAGTTGAGGAATTCACTGTGACGCAACTCGTAAAAAGTTGACCTTCCTGCCGCGTCACCTATCGTGTGCAGCTTGACGAGGGACTGGCTTAACCGCATTGTTTTGGACGGCGCCGTCACCGTGCGTCAAGCTGCCGGGAAATGATTAACGGTAAAACAAACTTGGATCTTCGTCGCTTTTTACGAGCTTGTTTTGCACTGGACGGCATCTTGTTTACAGTCGCGCTCGCTTCCAGGGCAAGTTCATTTGCTCACATGCCACATATTAACTGAGCTATCGTTGCTTTGCAGATAAGCCCCACAATCCCATGGTGAACGCTGGCGCTATTGTTTGTACTTCCCTGATAAAGGTAAAAACAAGACACCACTTTTCTTTTTTTTTTTTCCTCACTTCACTTAGTGTCAATGTTCAAAAAATGTTGTTCAAAGGCCTTTACTTGAATCATATCAACAATCTTGCAGTCACGATACTATCAAATTGCTCCTTGAAACCCTTTGCCGTAAATACCGCCGCGGTGTTGATTTGTTGATCCGATTTGGTCAGATGGAGGGCGCAGGCCCTCCATCCGACCAAATCGTTGGACTTGTCATTGCGTCTTGCCAAAGAATTTCCAACCCTCGTCAACTGTGACGTCTTGTTGTGATGATGAAAACCGGATTGACGCTGCATGTTTCAAGTGACCCAATTACAATTTTGTTTTTTCTTTTTTGTTCTCATGTCGCACCATTTCGGATGCATCATGGTAAAGAGAGAAAAACAGGATTGGGGATCAAAATGTGAGGCGTTGCGAATATCTGCCAAGTTGAGTTCAGGGTAGACGTACAGATCGGATCACATACACCCCGTCGGTGTCGGCTTGCCCTCATCGAAAATACACCGATTGCTGATTTGCACGCACCCACGTTTGCCCAAACAACACAAATAAAGCACATTAAAAACTTTTGACTTGAACAATTAAATACGGTCAAAGTCCGATGCATTGTCCTGAAAAGAGGGAACTATTTGCAAACAGTGTCCGATGAAGTCCCGTGCTTGAAATCGTCTGAATCAACAAGTGAAGAGTCAACTGAGGCCAGTTAAAGCTTATGGAAGGTTTCACATTTGCATTATGTAAGCGGTATTGCTTTTCGTCTCGACCTGGTGTGGGCACGTGTGGGGTTATTTGCATGCAGTTTGGATCTTACTCTGGTTTTCCATCAGTGTAAACGCAGACCTATGGGATACGTCTCACTTCAAATTTTGGCGGATTGATACATGGTCGTCACTGATGGAAGAGAACTGCGAAGGCCGTTTGATCAAATGAGATTTTGCCCCGTTTATCGGTCAAGAAACAATGCCTCGTTTGACGCGGGTCCAAACATGTTTTAACTATAAGGAGGTAGAATACGGACATTTTCAAATACAAATGGGCAAAAACAAAGAACAACATTGAACATTTTCAAATCTAATCCAATCATTGAAGTTACAAAAAAAGTTGAATTTTGGACTTTCCAAACATTTGATTGCGTGATTATTTGAAATGATACTCTTTGGCATAAGGGTCATCAAAGTGACTTTCTGTAAACCTGTTAGATCTGTTTCTGCGGAATAGCAAAGCAATCTTCCTGGTTCACTTTGATCAAAAAAAAAAAAGCACCCAAACTATTTGACATTGTTCTCCACTACTCACCATTCCAGTCAATCTGTATGGTTGAGTACACTTTTCAGGCCTTGAAACACACACCTTTGTTTAGACTTCAAAATGGCTCAACTGGACCTGTGACATAACAGGAGAGTTGACGTACATCATTTCAAAGCCCCGAGCTGTGTTTGAACCGTCATTGCTGATACGCTTTATATTTTGGTTCGGGTTGGGCCTTTTGGCACCGATTGTACTTCAAGTGTAGAAAACGGATGGCTGGATGCGATTGGTTGCTGCAGAAATGGAGCAAGCTCCTCGATTGAGCCGACGAAATGTCACCTTCGAGAACTTGAACAAAACTGTCAAAATTTGTGCCACTTTTCACAATAGCCTCTTTCACGCGACGTTTTGTCGCGTTCATTTTCTTGCGCCTTTCACGTGTAGCCCATCGATCGGATGGGGCGTTACCATTGCGTTTGTTGGCCAGCGTCAAGAGGTCAGAGAAGTGAGTCTCGGGTGTTCAAAGTTTACACTTCTGGTTGCGGCTTTCTCTGCATCCCTTTTACGTGGCCAGCGCTGCACCTCAGTACTGCTTTTAAAACGACGGTAATTCCCTCAAAAATTGAAGGGGGACAGGGACAGAGCCATGCCCTGAATGGCAAAAAATAATGGTGAGTTATTGACACGCCCCTAAAATTGTCTACATTAATAGTCTAAACCACAAATCGATAAGATGTGAACCCGAAACACATGAATATACTTTGTCGTTTTAAACTCATCTTCCAACATGACTTTTAAAGATAATTGCCTGTCAGACTAGTTTATGAAAACAAAAACATGCAGCAAAGACTCTCCCCAACTTCGGCTTCCAAACTTGGCTTCTCCTCAACATCCAAATGTTTTAGTCTCTCAGTTTTAATCGCATATCTTATCATGTCTACATACGTCTTTGACACCCTTTACTCATCTGCAGCCATATCTCGACATGTTCTTTTGTTTCTTTTTAGAATCAGCAAACAAGCAGCTGTTGAATGAATGTCAGTGAGGTTCCATCAATTGTGGTGGCACACCGAACGATATGTCGGAACTCGCTGAATTCAGAGTCTCGCTGATATGAGTCTGTTTTTAGTGGGCGGCTCTGGCTCATACGGTGCAAATGAGACACTTGTCTCTTCTCAAGTATGGCTTTGGTGACTACTTAATGAGTCCCGACTATAAAAAAAATGAGTGCGAAATGTAAAGCGCACAACGGCCCTTCAGGAAGACCGTAAAGACATTCAGCATACGGTGCCTTGAAAAAGACTTCGTACGACTTGAACCTTTTCACATTTTGTGACCGCACATGTATTTTCACTCGCGGCGGCAGCACTTCATCATCAAGCAACTGTCAGCTAGTTTGGCGATCCCTACAGACAAACAAACAAACACACACAAGTCAAGGCCGCTCTGCATACCGTTTGGCTTTGACTTACTTTCAGGTTACGTACTTCAGCAGTCACGCGAAAAGTGGCGGTTCTCCAACTGTGCCAAGCTGTGGTCAGAGCAACTTTTGTCTGTTACATAACACAACATTGGCAGCTCATAAGCGATTCATTTGGTGGCTTATTTTCACACTTGCTGAACAGCCAAACATTCCGCAGGGAACCCGGCTGAAGTCAATTTTCCATAATGTGTCATCTTTAATTTCAGCGGGAAAATCTATGGGATGTTTGCCGTGGCCGTATGCCCCCCACTGCCCCAAAGTGTTCCGTGGTGCTTGAAGGCTACATACTGTTGCTGTTTTTGTATGTTGCATATTTTCCAGACTTAGGAACTGTGGGAAATAATGACTGCTGCTGCAGGTCAAATGACGTTGGTAATTTTTTCTTCCTTTTCCATATCTTTCTCCTCGCACCCCCCCCCCAAACCCCTCAACCCCCCCTCTTCCTGATCTTCTCCAATCAGCCCGTAGAAATCCTTTCTAGTGAAACTCCATCCGTGTATGTTTGTTTTCTATTTCTTCTGCACAGTTCGGCGTCGAGCTTAAAACTAAGTTTTCATTCATATTTGGAAAACATGTAATCTGTAAAAACATGACGGTTTGTGTGTGTTCCGGCAATATGCAGATCAATGCATGTCCATTTTATACTTGGTGCAATGTTCTCGAGGTGGTAATGGGCAGCATCCGAAAAGGCTGCGTGCTAACGTATACATCCCCCGAAGCGGGCCCGATGCTTTGAAGTGCACTCGCAAAGATTCATGTTAGTTGACATTCGGTTGAAAGAAAGACGCCTACATCTGCACAACAGTAGATTGCGGTACAAAAAATTCTTTGTATTTTCCCCGCCATGATTTTTCAAATGCGACAACGGTAAGGAGCTGCGGCTTGAACCCTCCTGTCAAAATGATCCATTTGATCCTGTAAAAACGGAAAGCAAATATGTTGAAATGTAAAAACAAAAGTATGGAACTTACTCTGTTGGTTTTAGAAACATATATTTTTTAATTCTGTTATTTTTTTATTTGCAAACACCCACATTCCTGCTATATCGCAGTGACACGAGGGGCTAAAAGGAGTGTATAAATATCTATTGTATCTTTATATTTTGTGTCAAACTTTACATTTGTCTTTAAAAAAAAAAAAAACCAAACATGATTCATTTTGATTTAATGACTAAGCATATTGCGGGTCACATTGGCAACGTTTTTTGTATGGCCGAGACAACAGGAGGGTTAAGCAGCTTTTTGCACATGATCCCATATCATTTGAATTCATAAGCATTTTTTTTTTCATATAACTGCTATATAACACATCGACTGAAAGCCCATGCAACTGCAAACGATTTCGCTCTTGTCACCTTAAACACAATCTGTAGTCATTCTCTTTAACCTGTATGTGATTTGACACCTGTTTTTAAACATCTATTCACATCTGCTCATTCTTTAGCACGCGTAGTGTTACCATTTTACCGTAACAAATATTTCACCCGGTGGGAAGAGAAAAAAGCAAAAAAAACTCTGCTTAACTGCCTTTTTTTTTTCTTATTACCTCAGCAAGGTGAAGGTAACGCGGAAAAATTTGACTATGTAAGTATGAGCACGTCCTGATTCGAGTCGTGAAAATGGCCTAACGAGTTCGCTTGTGTGCCGTCAGGTCATGAACTTCTTGAAGGACATGGCGGGAAACGAGTATGTCGGTTTCAGCAACGCCACGTAAGTCATTTGAAAATGATGACCGGAAAATGCACTCATGGCCACATTTCTCTTGCAATGGGGGCTGGTGCCTCTTCCCAAAGTCATCTGCAATAAACTGCAACTCTGAGGAGGATAATGAGTGCCGTAACAAACTCAATAGTCAGTCATCTCCTCTGGAAAGTTAGAAAAGTACTAGAGTAATCGATGGAATAATCAAGAAGACATTAAGGATTGTTTGTGGCAGCCTTAAGAGAAAGTCAGCCATTTTGGTTTGACCTGGTCACTTTACGGCGGCGTTCCTTTTATTCGCCCCTGACTCCGGCGCCACCGAGCAAACCAAACTCGAGTGGATGCGTTTGTCAGAACAGAATGCGCAAAATTGAACGGGGGAGTCAGACATTTTGGTTTGAGGTGGACATTTTGGCTCCAAATTTCCCCAATCGTGCGCCCTGAAAAGTTACATGCACGCACACATAAATCAGACACCAATTTATATTCAAACATATTGAAGAAAGACTAAATCTATTTCATGTAGTGGTCGTCGGTATATGCCATGCGCATGATTTATGCTGGTTGGCAGGCAATGCTATTCGATCACCGGCTCGGGTTGCAAGATGGTCACATGATTGCATGAAGCTGCACTGTACACATGAGGGACCCACATGAGGGAGGGGCAGTGGAATTTCCATATATGCGCGCGCGCACACACACACACACACACACACACACACACACACACACACACACACACACACACACACACACACACACACACACTCGATTCAAAGCGAAGTAATGGCAGTGCTGTGTTTGTGTAACAGATTCCAGTCTGAGCGCGAGTCAGGAGACAGGAACTTTGCCATCGGCTACTACTTGAAAGAAAAAAAGGTTTGACCTCTTTTCGTAATGTGCAATGGATCATGTTTCAGGAAATGTTCATGTGAGACATTCAATTAATTTGATGGAAAAGTTGAGCTATTTCAGTAGTTCAATTCAAAAGTGGAACTCATGTAATGAAGTAAACACATTCACGAAACTACTTTTCATGAGGCCAAGTCCCACCTCATTTCTGTATTAAAAAAAAAAAAATGCAATTGTGGTGACTTTGGGGCTTTGGTTAGCTGTGAGTTACAACTTAAATTACAGGGACAAAAGGACATACTTGATTGTGTGGAATAAATCCCTTCCGTCTTCACTTTTTGAACCGAGCTACTAGAATACGTACGGCAATGAAGTCTGCTACTATCGTGAGCCTCTGCGTTCATTTGAACATCAACAACTCTCAAGAAAAATACACAAAAATAGCTTTGGCGGCACATCGACAATAAATGATGGGAATCGTGAGATCAATTTATTTGCATTTCTCTCTTTGCCCCGGGAAACGTCATCGCCGTCCCCGGGAAGCAGGCGCAACATAAAAACAAGCGCAATAAGGACAAAGGACGGATGTTAGATCACTTTTTCTTTGTTCCATTTTTCAAATGCTTTTCTTTTCAAAAGGGGTCATTTTGACCTGCAACATACGCGACGAGAACATTCGCATTTGTCTGCTGCACCGCTTTTTGACATATTTCTTTTCTCCTCCGTAGTGTTTTCCTGAGGGGACAGACATGACGTCTGTGCTGGACCTCTACTTTCAGGTGGGATCACGCATGCTCCACTTACAACTGGGCCTCCTTTACAAATACTTCTCTCTCTCTCTTTTTTTTTTTTCTTTTCCTCTTCAGCTGTGCTCCATCGAGGTGAACTGCGAGAGCGCCAGCGTGATGGCCGCCACGCTGGCCAACGGCGGCATCTGCCCCATCTCGGGCGAGCGCGTTCTCAGCCCCGAGGCCGTCAGGGACACCCTGAGCCTCATGCACTCCTGCGGCATGTACGATTTCTCCGGACAGTTTGCCTTTCATGTGAGTACAAAAGAGGCTTGTAATACACGCTAGCATGTGGGCGGGTTTGACCGGGATTAGGTTGCGTCGCGGGTCAAATCCACCCATTTAAAAAAAGGGAGAGAAAAGAAAGAGTCAAAAGTCGCAAGTTTCCAGGCTGAGTTAACAACAATGTGATTTTTAGACCAGCCGTTTCAGACTCTTTTTGACAACGGGTCAAATTGACCCCGAGATATTTGGGCTGTTCCTGAGAAACAAATGTAACAGAAGAATTTATCACTCAATCTTAGCATATGCGCTCGAAAGTTACGTAATACCAAATTGTTGTCAGGACTGATTTATGTCAGTGCTACAGTGTTTGGCTGACAAATATAAAAATATCGCTTTGGTGTCATTTTGTGGCATCTTGGTGCTAAAGAATTGCTGAAGTGGTGGGGCGGGGGGG